GAAACACCTTCTTCCTTTGCCTGCTGGGTATTTCCTACCTCAGCTGTTCATTTTTCAGGCTCTTTTCTGCATCCTCCTCTATTCTGTATTCCTAGGACTGTGCCAGGGCTTTGGTCTCTTCTAGACCCAACTTCCTAACGTCTTATCCAGGCGTGGAGTATTATCCAACATCCGCATGCTTGTAGCTCCCAAGTTTACCACCACTCAGTCTGGTGTCTGTTAATGTGTTCCTCGTCTCTCTCCTTTTACTGGAAGCTTCATAAGAGCAAGGACTTCATTTTGTTCATCATTTTATCCTCAATTCCTAGGAAAATGTCTGACACATATTTCACACTCAGTGCCTTATATGGAATGACTTCTTGGTTTATGGGTAGTTCACCTTTAACCTTGGCCATAAGCATGAATAAGTCAGCTATTAACTTTTTCTGTTTTGAGAAGAGTAGATGTTGTATTTATTTTTTTATTTCAATAATATTAAGAAAGTTATCTCCTTATAACCTGAATTTATTTTAGCTCAGTTGATTACATTTATTTTAAATGGCAGGAGTTAAAATTTTAAATAGTGGTTTTATTTTCAGATTTCGATAGAGATTTTTTTTTAGCATATTGCTTTTAAAAGACTAATAAAGGTTCTGTTAATTCTTTGAAAAAAGATAATTTTTAAAATTTTAAGTACTTCATTTTCTGCATGGTAGATCATTAATGTGTCTAACATTTTCAGTGACTTGTGGGTTTTTGTTTTTTTTTTTGCTTTGTGTTGTGAAAATTTTTAGAAACAAAATTTTGTATCTCATAATAAGATTTAGAAAACAAACACTAAATATTGAAATTAGCACTAGCATTTTTTCCTGAAGATGGACTCAAAAAAATAGTCAACCATAACTGTCATCTAGGGTCCATTCTGAGATACATACTGGAAAAATTATGGTCATGTGTCCATATAGAAAACCAGGTGATAATAGGTTAAACTGTAAGTAACATTTCTTTATCTCCTACCATTTATCAAAAAATAATTTACTTATAAACTTCCATTTATAAGTAAATGAGCACCAAATTAAAGAAAACTGAGTTAAAGAAGTATTAGTCTAAAAAGAAATGCTCAGATTTGATTTATCAGTGCTGTGAATGTTACTTAACTTTTAAACTAACACATTTGGCACTGTCATTATTAGTCTAAATTAATTAATTTGACCTTTGTTTTCAGTTTTAATTTTAGAGAACTATAAATTTGTTGAAAAATTTAGCAGAATATAAACTTTTATAACAGTTAATAGGTGCGCATACCATTTGAAATGCTTTGTTTCTGCTTGTGTTCTCTGCTAAATTTTTTTTTCCATTGAATCTGTGCTGCTTCTTTGCCGATGTTTTCCACTGTAGAATCTCCATCTCGCAACCTTGCTTCTCGCGAGCGCATTTACAAAAATTATGCTGTAGCTGGGCCTGCCTCTGCTCTCTCATCTCTGTCTCACAAACTGAAGGGTGGGTATGCGTGCGTTCACGGATGGGCCATTCCGAATGAACACAGGTCTCAATAAAGACGTGTTAGTTCACCTCAGTCATTCTCATCCCATTCCATTTTTTAAGATTAAAGTTTATCATTTTATTTAAAATTTGATATTTTGGGATAATTTGTGATGTAACTGTTCAATATTGTAGTATTGATTATCCTAATTGATATGCATGTTTATCTGCAGGTTATAAATAGTACTGTTATTTAATTTCAAACCTATATGAGGTCTTAAAAAATAAATTATGTAGAAATAAATGCCTTTGGGGAGTTGTAAAACCGTTATTATCAGAACAAGGTGGTATATGTGTAAGCCATAAAGCACCTTATGACCTATGAGAACATAGTATCTCATGTGACAGTTTAACCTTAGACGCATTTTTATGTTATGTAATATGAAGATCATTTTCGTATTTTAGGTTTTTATGAGAAACAATTTGGTAATTAAGTTTTTTAATTTAGTTTACTTTTCAAGGATGTCCTGTCTGGCATGGGTCTTCCTTATAGTATTTTCTTAAGTTACTTAGTTTTAATATTTTAAACTTAGAAATGTTTAGACTATTGACAGTTGGTAAAATGTCAGACAATTTTAAAATGTGCTTTGGTTTTTTAAAATACTATAGATGCCTCATCACATATTTTTGTCTTAAAGTATTATTTAGTTAAACTTTTAAAATCCTGTGTTCTTAGAAATGGATAAAACAGTTTTTACATCTCTCCTTTGTACAGTTGACAGAGGTACTATGTAGTATTATGGTATAATTATAATACCTGGCTTCTGTAGTATATAGTGTTATGTGAGCTGATATGTAGTACATACTACGACATACTGTATTACGGTACAGTACTATATTATGTTGTATTATAGGATGGTATCATGTAACCCTTTATTCATAATTTTGACATGAAAAGAATTATGAAGGTTATTAATGAATGAATACTTAATATGTAACATTTTTATTAATTTTTTTGAATGTGCTAAATTTTTATCCTTTCCTGAATTATTTTTCCTTCAGAATTCTTTTGAGATTCAAAAAAGTGTCACTTAAACTTACACATGATAAACATAAACATTAAACAAAATTAAGTGATGAATGTGAAAGTATTTGTCATCTAAAGCTTTTGACAAAATGTCTGTTTATAGATACTTCAAGCAGCCACAACATGACCATTTTTAGTAATACTACCTGCCTCAAAACTTTTGAAACCCAAATGAAGAAGATAAACATCAATTAGCTATCATATGGGTTTATCAAACTTAACTAACTTGACATATGCATTTTTTTAAATATAAGAAATATATTTTGGAAAAGTAAAATTTTCAGCAGGATTTAGTTGTAATTTGACAAATACATCTCAGGAAGTAAGCTCATTATTTATGTGCCTAGAGTCCAACAGGTATTCAACCGTCACCACTTACAGATCTTAAAAAAGTATTCACCATTACTCGAAGCATAGGAACAAGGTATACAGCTGCCGTATTTTTCTAACCCTCTCGCTGTGATGAACATTTTTGCTAGCATCAGACAATCAATGTTCCTGATATTTGAAAGATTCAGTTGTTTCACTAACCACAGAGGGTATTTCCCTTATGAGTATTTGTGCATCATTAATTTAGAAAGCAAACCTCTTTCAATTCATGAATTGATCTTTTAGAGAGAGGAATGCCAGATATAAAAGATTTACTACTTATTTGTCTAGATTCACCATGATGTGTGGTTCAGCTTATGAAATAAATGTGATGATGAAGGTGTTTCCAGCTACTAGCATAATAACAAAAACTAGTGCTCCAGATATCACTCATCAGAATTAGTGGCAAGGACTAGACTGATGTTTAATTCTGCCAAATACAATATATTGGTTTATAAAATCTGACCCTTACAGAACAATGGCTACTGTCACCTCTGCCCTCTGGCCGTGGGAGCCATTAAAGTAAAAAGTAAATTTTCAGAGAATCTGAAGATTTATGACTAGCAGAAGAAAAAAAATAAGAAAATAGGAATTTGTTTACTCATTTAACAGATATTTATTGGACACTTACCGTACTGACCCATTCTTGACATTACATCAGTGAAGAGTAGTAACAGACAAGGATACAGCCCTCGCAGGCCTTCCATCAGGAGGCAGGCTCTCCGGCAATACTCTCTTGTGGTGCAGATAGCTAGGGTGCGAGTGTAAACACACACACGTGCAAGAGAGCCAAAAAACACTTCCCAATGTTATCCAAATTTCTTCATATTCCTTTTTTAAAAAAGAAAGAACTACAGTATAACCAGTTAACAGATTCATCTCAATTTACTAAGTGCCCTTTTTCAAAAAATATAAATGCTTTTAGCAAGGTTTATGGATTTTCAGTTTTTCATACCACTTGAATCATTTCAGTCAGGTTGCTTTCCTCCTAACAGTGAACTAATATCACTTGTACTAAGGGCAGGAATTTTTATTTTAGGGAGGATTATCTTTCCTCCCTAAAATAAATCTTGAAGGTTGTACCACCTCCTGGCGGCAAAGACCACCTGGCTCTAATGTCTCAAAGGGAAGCATGAAGTAGTAGGAAAGAGAGATACTGAATGAGGGCCAGGATGCCAAATACAAATGCTGTCCAGGTATGCAAATCATCTAGTGCTTTGCCTAGTAAAGAGCAGATGATTTTTCTTTGTATCCTTATATTCTGTTATTCCGCTGACTCCCTGATTCAAGGTCCCGCAGTTCAGATTTGTACTTCTAATTCTGAGGGTCCTGCCATTTTTCTTCTTTCCAAGGCAACACAGGCTCTTGAGTCCTAACCAGCTAAGCTTATGAACTACCTAAGCTTATAGGATACACTCTTTTTGTAAATAATAGACTGCCTGAATTGCATGCAATTAAATAATAGCTTTAGAACATTCATATGTTCATTATAAATTATTGTAATATAATTATTAGAATATTAGAATTACTAAAATATGTCTCCTAAACAGCCCTTTATTAGCCTAATTGGATTTATTTGTGTACTTGAAAAGGGGTAAGTGTATCTATACATATTCCACTTCCTAATTCAACAAGACCTACACTTTTACCCTAATAAAGATGAGTGGTATTTACTGGAAATTTAGCTCTACTACTTCATATATTTAAAAGTACATGTTCCCATAATTTCTTATTCCAAAAATTTAGTTATGGTTTTTTTCTGTCTAGTCCCTCACTGAATTGAAATTGTAGCTAATGATTTTATTAGGGCTGAAGTTCAGCTATCACGGATAAGTCGTACTGGTACCCAGGTGCTATTTGTTCAGCATTTATTTAGAATGGTTTTTGAGTGGAAATGGTCATATAATGACATAACCGAAATTTGATGAGAAATAGTCCCCCCCTTTTCCTTCATTCTTCAAGTATTTTTGTGACGAGCAGTACAGATTTTTTTAGCTGTGTTTTTTATTTCATTGTTTAGTGGCTAAATCAGCAGTAAGTTCTAATTATATTAACAAGTTTCACTATGAAATGGACCATACAGGTGACCGAGGAACTATCTCAACACCTAGACCAGTCTGTACATCAGGAAAATCAGAACTGTCCTCCAAACACAGCAGAACACTTAAACCTGATGGACGTATGAGCCGGACCACTGCTGATCAGAAGAAGCCCAGGGGTACAGAAGGTTTATCGGCCAGCGAATCTCTCATGTTGAAATCTGACGCTGCCAAGTTGAGGTCAGATTCTCACAGTCGGTCACTGTCCCCGAACCATAACACCCTACAGACACTGAAATCTGATGGGAGAATGTCTTCTAGCCTCAGAGCTGAATCCCCAGGACCAGGTTCTCGGCCATCATCTCCTAAGCCAAAGACCCTCCCCGCCAACAGGTCTAGCCCATCTGGTGCTAGTTCTCCACGCTCCTCCTCACCACATGAGAAAAATCTACCTCAGAAGAGCACTGCTCCTGTTAAGACGAAACTTGATCCCCCTCGAGAACGTTCCAAATCAGACTCTTACACACTTGACCCAGATACCCTCCGCAAGAAGAAGATGCCGCTCACGGAACCACTAAGGGGACGATCAACATCGCCAAAACCAAAACCAGTCCCAAAAGATGCTAAAGAGTCCTCTGGATCCGAAAATAGAGCCCCTTCTCCCCATGTGGTACAAGAAAACCTCCACAGTGAAGTGGTTGAAGTCTGTACTTCAAGTACTTTAAAAACAAACAGTCTAACAGACAGCACCTGTGATGAAAGCAGTGAGTTTAAGAGTGTGGATGAAGGTTCAAATAAAGTTCATTTCAGCATAGGAAAAGCACCACTGAAAGATGAACAGGAAATGAGAGCATCCCCTAAAATAAGTCGAAAATGTGCAAATAGGCATACCAGGCCCAAGAAGGAAAAATCTAGCTTTCTCTTCAAAGGAGATGGAGCCAAACCTTTAGAGCCGGCCAAGCAAGCCATGTCCCCTTCTGTGGCTGAGTGTGCCAGAGCAGTCTTTGCCTCTTTCTTGTGGCACGAAGGCATAGTGCACGATGCAATGGCTTGTTCTTCTTTCTTAAAATTTAATCCTGAACTTTCCAAAGAGCATGCTCCTATAAGAAGTAGTCTAAACAGCCAGCAGCCTACAGAAGAAAAGGAAACCAAATTAAAAAACAGACACTCATTGGAAATATCATCTGCACTGAATATGTTTAATATTTCACCTCATGGACCAGATATATCTAAAATGGGTAGTATCAACAAAAATAAGGTATTGTCTATGCTGAAGGAACCTCCTCTGCATGAAAAATGTGAAGATGGGAAGACTGAAGCCACTTTTGAAATGTCCATGCATCACCCAATGAAGTCCAAGTCTCCTCTTCCCTTAACTCTACAACATTTAGTGGCTTTTTGGGAAGACATCTCTTTGGCTACTATCAAAGCAGCTTCCCAGAATATGATTTTTCCAAGTCCTGGTTCTTGTGCAGTCCTTAAAAAGAAAGAGTGTGAGAAAGAGAATAAAAAGGCCAAGAAAGAAAAAAAGAAAAAAGACAAGACAGAAGTTCGGCCCAGGGGTAATTTGTTTGGTGAGATGGCCCAGCTGGCAGTAGGAGGCCCAGAGAAAGACACCATCTGTGAGCTGTGTGGAGAGTCCCATCCGTACCCAGTGACGTACCACATGAGACAGGCTCACCCCGGTAAGCGACGTTACTGAATATATACAAGTACTTTCATGCAAAAACAAATTAGGTCACTTCTGACTTAATCTGTTCTGTGAAGAGTGTCAAAGTACAGGGAAGCCATTGCCCAGAATTTGTAGTATCTTCTAATGTAATTTTTAAAGTGCATTATCAATATAGGTTTTGTGAAGACTAGGTGAAGCTCAAATAGTATGATGGTAAAGCGATGTAGTGCTATTTCATTTTAGTGTGTCACATTCAAATAGTGCTTACTTTTCAAATGTTGTATATGTTACTCAAAGGATACTGTTAAGTTGTCTCACACAGTAGGAATAATATGTCTATAGACTTTAGGTTTCCTTTGGTTGTAGTGTTTTCTTGTTCAGAATTTCAAATTAAATTACTTTATACTGATTTATTTGGGCATTTTCCTGTGGAAGAGATATTATCAATGGTTTCAACAGAAGGCAGTATTTTACAGACAGAAAACAAACATACAGTTACCAGGGGGGAAAGGAGGTGGGGAGAGATAAATTAGGGTTTAAAATTTGCAGATACTAACTACTATATATAAAATAGATACACAACCAATTTCTTCTGTACAGCCCAGGGAACTATATTCAATGTCTTGTAGTAATCTATAATGAAAAAGAATATGAAAACAAATGTATGTATATATATATATCTGAAACATTATGCTGTACAGCAGAAATTGACCCATCATTGTAAACTAACTATACTTCAGTGAAAAAAGAAGACAGTATTTTAGATAAATACAACTATTTCTATAACAATTGATTACTATTCCAAAATTCACCTATTATGAATTTGGGTAAATTTTTTTCTCTTCCTACATATTATGTTGAAACGTTGTAAAGGGTGTAATTTATAAAATACATCATTTTTACAGAATATTTTGTATCTATTTTTTCTGATTTTTTTGGCATACTTAAGTAAATCTAAATGCACCCACCTTTTATATTTCTCTTCATCTGCCTTTGTAGAGTATCTTCAGTATTTTAGGCATCATTTAATTGATTGCTTTTTGATCACCCATGCTATTTTGCTGATATAATTAACAGGCTGGAAAAAAAAGTTAGATACTTGCTTCAGTATTTTGCTTACTTTGATGAGGGAAATCTGTCATTTGTAAATAAGTGGCAAAGATCAGACTATTAAGGATACTTAAAGTGTTAAGTTTTATTTATGTTCTTATTTCAAGGTTGTGGCCGGTATGCTGGTGGACAAGGTTACAATAGCATTGGGCATTTTTGTGGAGGATGGGCTGGTAACTGTGGTGATGGAGGCATAGGAGGAAGCACGTGGTATCTGGTGTGTGATCGCTGTAGAGAAAAATACCTCCGTGAAAAACAGGCTGCTGCAAGGGAGAAGGTATTTTATTTTGTTCTGGCTATACTGGTAATGATAAGTACAAACCGTATAAAAATCTCATTTTATGATCATATTATCAGACAATTCCACATAATTGACATTAAGATCAATTTTTACAGTAGGAATTATGTACAAATTTGATTTATATACCAGATCAGCTGTTTTTAATTACAAATGTTAATTATATCTTGAGATAACACAAAATAGCTAACCTATAGCACACATGCCTTAGTGACAGATGTTTATTTTGTAATTTTTTTATTATTGTCTGCTACTCTCCATATATATATATATATATATATATATATATATATATATATAGCTTTCCCTCTTTATCTTTATCTCTCTTAACTCTCTTTTTCTTTTTCCTTCTTCTACTCTTTATCTCCTCTCTTTTTTTCTTAATCCCTATTTATGTTGTAGAACCAAAAGAAATTTAAGATCAGTCACACTAGTGGCAAACCTAACTAAAAATGTTTGCTGAATACACACAAATTATTTACTTTTTTTAAAAAAAATTACATTTATAGTTTACTAGTTAGGTTTTAAACTCTCCCAAGGAAAGGAAAAAATACAGTTTGTGTTTGATATAAAATAGTTCCAGTCAGTTCAGGAGAAGCATGAAGTGAATGTTGTTTTTGGTGATCACTGTTACTATTTTAAAGTAGTTCTACAAGTGTTTAATAATTGTTATTAGAAACTCAAAATATTTAGGTTAAGAAATTTGAAATTTGAATCTAAGTAGGAAAAGATCCCTACACATTTTCTTTGCCAGGTCAAACAGTCTAGGAGGAAGCCACTGCAAGTCAAGACCCCTCGTGCCTTGCCCACCATGGAAGCTCACCAGGTGATTAAAGCCAACGCCCTCTTCCTGCTGTCCCTGAGCAGTGCAGCCGAGCCAAGCATTCTGTGTTACCATCCTACAAAGCCATTCCAGTCTCAGCTTCCCAGCGTCAAAGAGGGCATTTCTGAGGATCTTCCGGTTAAAATGCCTTGTCTCTACCTGCAGACATTAGCTAGGTAATATGACTTGACTATTTTTTTTTAATCACTTTGGATTAACAGCTCCTGTTGATTACTACAGAATATGTCTCAGAAAGTAAGACTTTAGCTATCTTTTACTCTTTGGTAAGTTGACTTTAGTCTGTTAATGGTGGGAAGTGATAAAATGGAACAAAACTGCTTTTGCTGTCAAAATCTTTGATTTTTCAAATTTTTAATTCTATTAGCATTTAAATGTTAGTTAGCTGGTTACCAGCTTTGTGCTACACCTTGAAGACACCAAGACGAATATAATAAAACCCTGACTTCTGTGTGTTCACACTCTGCTGGCGACAGATACGCAAATGAAACATTTAAATGTTACGTGCAGAGTGCTGTGATAGAAGTGTGTGTAGGACACTATCGGAACATAAAAGATAGAGGGCACCTGAGTCTTCCCAAGGCCATCAAGAAAGATTTCCCAGAGGACCTGACATTTTAGCAGAGTCTTGAAGGATAAATAGAAATCAATCAAGCAGGTGATGGGAGGAAAGCTGTTCCTTCCCATATTTCTTCATATGTGAAGACACAGTGAAATAGCTTCACCACAGGCTTATTAAAGCATTGGTTACCAGGAGAAACAGATGAAATGCCCTAGAAGTGGTTCCCCAGGACTGGGTGATGTGAGGCTCTGTAGCCCAGGCTAAGGTTGGATTTTATCGCATACACTGAGGAAGAACTTTAAACAAGGAAACGCATGAACTGGTTTGCAGTGAGACAGTCACTCTGCTACTGATGTGGAAACTGGATCAAAGGGCATAACCGAAGGTGGGGAGAAGCCTGTTAATAGTATACTATTTTCCCATATTGAGATTGGCTGGTACAACCCATACGTCCATACATTATATGCTGATACTCTAGAACAGCATATAATTTCATAGACCAAATTCAGATTTTTTTTTTTTAATCATCTGACAAATGAAGATTTCTAGAAGTCGCCTGCTGGTGTGACTTAACCCACAGTTCCATTTTAAGAAGCAGAGCTATGTAGTTTGTTTGTTTTTGTACTTATTATTCAATAAAATGGGAAACAAAAATGAAAATATGAGACTAAGTACACTTGGGATGGTGGTGGAAATCATCAGGAATGTCAAGTGCAACAAGTCTGTCGCTTCAGTCATATCGCTTACTGTGCTTAGGTTAACACCTCTCTGTTCTGGTCTGAAAAGGATAGAGTCAAATGATAAAAGATATAAAAAATGCTGGCATACCCTAATTGTGGGTATTTTTATTTTTAGCTCTCTGGCAAATACATATCCCCCTACCTCATGGAACATTTCATATTTCTAATCTTTTTCAAATTTCACTCTTATATATGTTCCTACCAAAAAGGTCACTGCCTGTGCTTCTGCAGTCCATGCAAGAAGCATCATGAGCCTGAAGCAAGGCAGTGATGATGGGGAAGGAGAAGAGAGAATAGTGAGGGGAAACCGGGCATTCACAGTGCCAAGCCTGCTGTACACTGAGACACGTTAGCTTGAGACACCTGGATCGCTGGTGGGGTCATTCACTAAAACACTGGAAGATGGAAAGGTTCTCAGAAGGAAAGAAAGTATGTTCAATTTCGGTTTGAAATGTTTGTGGTACCTGGAATATCTATGTGTAAAGTTGTCAGATTTTTATTTCCTCTTACTTACATCTATGACTGTTTTAATACTTTAATCCTCAATTATAGACTTAATGTGTTGCTTTTACTTATACGAAGGGGATTAAAAATGGAAAATACCTGTATTGCCATCATACTTTAAGTTATCGGGTTTAATTTAATGCAGGCATCACCATGAAAATTTTGTGGGTTATCAAGATGACAACCTGTTCCAGGATGAAATGAGATACCTGCGTTCAACTTCGGTACCTGCCCCATACATATCCGTGACTCCTGACGCAAGTCCTAATGTGTTTGAAGAACCCGAGAGCAACATGAAGTCCATGCCACCGAGGTATTTGAGTTATCTTCTTTCTGTTGAAGTCCAGTGTTTAGCAAAAGAAAGACTTTAAACTAGAAGAGAATGCTCTAGAAGTCCTTTTGTACCTCCTTCCATCTCAGGAAGGAAGGTTGTGTCAGCTCTGCTCACCGTTAGAGCAGTAAGAAAAAGCCTGTATACATGAGTCAGATAAGGTCTTTGATAGCAGAGACCAGCTGGAGAGAAAAGATCAACTAATGAAGTAATACAAGATTCCACTATGTGACATTATATCTTTTAGTGCTTTAGAAACTCAGACTAGAGAAAGGTCACTTTGAGGCAGTGCTTAGAGAAGGGGTCTTAGGGGAAGTAGCTCTGAAAGTAAATCTTGAGCTTCTTGGATTATTACTTGCAATGCTTCCCTCAACCTGGCCCTTTATATTATAGCATCAGAGTAAAGGGCTTCTTGGAGACTGAAGAGCAGCATTTAAATATAATGCAGAAAGGTACCAGTGAGACTTTTTAAAGGAGGACTAACTGGTAAAAAAAATGCAGAGATAGTCAGCTTCACAGTATCAACTGAGAAGCTGAAAATTTTAATCAAAGATTTCAGCTAAGTGTGTGAAAATGGATTGTGTTGGCAATGGTTATGAAAAAAGATGGGTAAAGGAAATATTTTGTAGGAAAAATCAGTGTGACTTGTTGACTAACTAGGTAATGAAAAGGATAAGTTTAGGATAACATCAAGATTTCAGGCATGAATAACTGTGAACATGATGTCACTGGAAAGGAACATACTTGCTGAAGGAAGAAAGAAGACATGCTGCTGTTCATTCTACGCAGTCATAAGTATGCACTAATACAGGCAGACCTCATTTTATCACACTTCACTTGTACTGCGGTTTTTACAAATTGTGGCAGCCCTGCGTCGTTAGGTGATAGCATTTTTAGCAATAAAGTATTTTTAAATTAAGGTACGTACATTGTGTTTTTTCAGACATAATGCTATCGCACACTTACTAGACTACAGTACAGTGCAACCATAATTTTCATATGCCCTGGGAAATCAGAAAATTTCATGTAACTCTCTTTGTTGTGGTGTTCTGGAACCAAACCTGCAACATCTGCCAATAGTTTAGGTAAAACCCTCTAGAGTAGAAGCCCTTTGTATTATCACTGGTGTCACGGAAGAAACTAGAGATCTTGTAGGGAGTCCTGTTTTCCACAGCTCCCTGCTGGAGAAGAGTAACAATGCAGGGCCCCAGGGGATGCTGCCACAGGAGTAGGATATCTACCAACTGGCTGGAATGGTCCCTGGGATAGACTGTGGGGAAGTCCACCCCTGCTTTTCAGAACAAAGAGAAGACCTGGACAGAGCTGCCCACTGTAAGCAGGAAGAAAATGAAAATAAACAATATGTCTTACAAGTCACATGAAGAACCCAATCTAAAAGAAAGCTCTCTCAAGGATGAACAGAAAATTTCTATAACTACTCTGCAGTACTGAAAAACTTGATAAAATAAATTTAATAAAACAAAAGCCCAAGTGTGATAATAAGATCAAAAGCAGAATGAGGTAAAAATATACATTACAGAGCTAAGAGGACAGACATCCACACCATTGTAAGACTAATTAATGTCTTAGAAATGTTTAGAATAATAAATTGAATTATTAACATAAAGGAAAAATGTAAGATAATCATAATGAGTAAAGAGTAAAAGTACGAAAAGATTATAGCAATGACAGCCAAGATAACAGGTATGGAAGCAGGACAATCTGAGGTGGGAGTAACTGGTTCTTTAAAGTAGAAAAACCAGCAAATACAACTGAAGATTTATCTAAAGTTAAAATATTAAAAAAAAAATAACTTCCCCAAATAACAAAGTACTAAACTTCCAGATTAAAAGGACATTTTTATAACAGGTGACTATAAGATATTAAAACTTTTTTTTGGAAAAAAAAACCAAGAATTTTTTCATGTGTCTAAGAATAGAAAAACAAGTCATTTTGCAAAAGGAAGATTAGACTGAGTTCAGACTTCTGTATGACAACTTTGAATGAAAGAAATGAAACAATGTCTCTAAAACTCCAAAATAAAGAAAATGCCACCTTAGAGGTTTTGCTCAGTCACTCAGACATACTCAAATATAAAAGATCTTGAAAACAGTAGAACCTAATTATGGATGAATGGAATGAATCAAATGATTAATGAAAAGTTATGTTTAAAAAATGCTACTATTCATGTAAGTGTAATTTTCACAGAATCCTAAATAAACAAAACTATGACCCAAGTGTTTTACATTTAGCCAGGTTGAGACATTCTCAGGCATACAGTAATTTGAGAATATAGCACCTTTGAGCTGTTCTTTCAAAAAATCTTTACAAACTCAAGCTGCTATAAAAGGGAATGAATAATGAATCCATTAAATCAATGGTTTTCAACATGGGGTGATTTTGCCTCTGAGATGACATTTGACAAAGTTTGAAAACATTTTTGTCATAAACATGCTGGTTCCACAGGCATCCTGGTGGGTAGAGGCCAGGGATGTTGCTAAACATCCCCCAGTACACAAGACAGGCCCCGACAACAAGGAATTGTCTGGCCCAAAGTAGCCAAGTTTGGGTTAATGATGGTCCTCTTTGTTTCCCTTGGGTTTTCTTGCGTTGCTTGAGTTTTTTCACAAGCATGATCATTTTTAAAAGAAGAAGTCATTGTTTCTTAGGTTGTGCAAGAATTTTTTTAAGTTGATAAACTTCCTCTGAAAGCAGAACAGATGTCTTGTGCTTTATAGTGACACCATATATAAAGTGAATTAAGTTAAACATATCCCTATCATTGTGGAACCAAACAGCCCAAACTGACATCCAGGCACCTTTACTCCAATTAATTATGTACAACATTTATAGACTATTCAAACAAGAATGTGCACACACTTAGGTAGTGAGTAAAGAGAATGGCCAGGGAGTTGGCCACTTACTAGAAAATACATAAACTTTACTGAGGGACATAGGATTTTTAAACCTTGCTTGAATGGTGGAAAAGAAACAACTTTAGAACTCAGGGTGAACAAAAATATCCCAGTTTGGAATGAGGTGACAGAGAAAAGAATACCTGAAAAAAAGTAGTTTGTAAATTTGTCTTAGAAAGTAAGGAAAGGTGTTTCTCTTTTTTATAAAATGCCTCAGTGAAGGAAATTATATAACCATCTTAATACCTTTTCCAGTGTTTTTTAATGCTACTATAGTAAATAGAAAAATTGTTGGTTTATTAAAACCCTCTTGAAAACCATTGAGTTCTCATATAGGATGTAAGTATCATCTAACTCTGACCCTGGAAATCAGTTTGTTACTTCTTGTTACACTTTGTTGTGGCCGTGCTCTGGATGGGGCTTTGGGCAGCATGTCACAAGAATGAGAACTAGCACCAAAAGAAAATTGCATCCTTTCACTTCCGTTTTATTATGTTTCTGTATGTACATATCCATTTTCTTTCCACTCAGGGCTCTTAATGGATATATCTGCCTGTTTCTTCTGAATATCATGACACATGTCTTCTCCCACAGTGCTTTTGATTCTGAAAGGAGCTTAGAACATTTGGTGCCTTTTCTTCTTTTTTTCATGTAAAATGCAAAGCAGACTTAAGAAAACCAAAATTTTTAAGATGCAGTTCTGAAATCAGTCAAAATGTGACTACATTTGGAAAGATCAAATTATGATTTAAAAAGAAGTTGTCAAGTTGACTTTGAATTTGTATTCTTCCACATGAAATGTAGGCTCACATACTTGACTGCACTGTTATAAACTAAATATAGTGTCACATCATTCACTTTTTCTCCTGAGTTTTTATCTGTCATCTTGTTCTGTCTGCAGTTTGGAAACTAGTCCCATAACTGATACTGATCTCGCCAAGAGAACTGTCTTCCAAAGATCATACTCAGTTGTTGCTTCTGAATATGATAAACAACACTCCATTTTACCTGCACGAGTTAAAGCCATCCCTAGAAGAAGAGTTAACAGTGGAGACACTGGTAAGTATAAAGATAAAAAAGAAAACTGAGTGATCCAAAAGGTTTTGTTTGTTTTTTTAAATCTAGTTTTTGAGGGAGAGGAATGGATTAATTTTAAATTATAGTAGACGTGCCTTCTATGTGTAACAGCCATAAATGTGTCTCTCTAAATTTTGCATCTCAGTTGGAAGAGACACCCAGAGATCGTCCAGTGTTATTCAAGAATAAATTGACTTTAAAATACATTACTTGTTAGGTATCTAAGCCAACTGCTTCTACCATTATCCCTTCTACTAAGCGTCAGTGAACCATCACTTCCAATGACTTACACTTTAACAGTTATCTTCCCAGTCCTAATAGAAGTTCATAATTCTTGTAGCAGCTGCCACTCTCAATAGATAATATAATTTGGGGCCATGACTAGCTCTTAATTAGTAAAAATATTAGATAATCTGGACCAGTTGGTATCAACAGCTCCAAACTAGGGTTGATTGGTTCTCTTTCAAGCATAAAGAAAGAAACCCAAGAGAAAAGAAAATGTTAATGATTTGTCAGACAGACCAGTTACTAAATGAAAATCCGCACTTGTATTTCTCAATAGATGATAATATATCTTACTGAAGATCTCAGGTAAGATATTATGGAGGATAAATCAAATGTTAATGATGTATAGGTTCATTCAACAAGTATTTTTGCACTCTTATTGAGATATCATTTGTTATAAAGCAGTCCTTTAGAAAATGTTGGGGATAAGATGTAGATTCCATTTAGGGAGAAAATTAATTGCCTAGTGTTTATTGTTTTAGAAAGCATGGACTTTAGATTCAGATCTGGTTTCAAAACTCAACTCCACAACTTAATAGCTATATGACTTTAGGACCGTGAGATAGTTAATCTTTCTGAGCGCAGTAAAAATTAAAATTGTTAGGATTTGCAAAAACAAACAAACAAAAAATCCGAAGACTCTAAAGTAAATAATCATCTTAAATATATTAATCATATTTATTGCCTAGGAAAATGAATAATTTCTTTTTTTTTTTAATTAGAAGTTGGTTCTTCCCTCTTGAGACATCCATCTCCTGAGCTTTCCCGGCTAATCTCTGCCCACAGCTCCCTTTCTAAAGGAGAACGAAATTTCCAGTGGCCAGTTTTAGCTTTTGTTATACAGCATCATGATCTAGAAGGTCTTGAAATAGCAATGAAGCAGGCCTTAAGGAAGTCTGCTTGTCGAGTTTTTGCTATGGAGGTAAGAATACATCAGTAGGGTTACTGATTCATTGATCATACAAGTCATGTGATGAGTCTATGTAATAATATCACTTTTCTATGAAACATTGTGACAAATTAAGGGACATTAGCAAATCGAAAATATCAAATGTTCACATCAAAATTAAACTCTTAAGGTTATGAATATTAATGAATTTAGAGTTTCATATTTAAGCACTCTGAAGAAAGTTTATTCTGCATTGCTTTATTATTTGAATCCTGATAATATTTTTTTAAAAAAGCTTTTTGTAATCACCGTATCATTTCAGTTAGAATCATCATGCAAAGGGGATGAAAAGTAGGGCTTGTTACAAATTTAACAATATAACTTACCTGGGTCTCTGTTCTCTAGAAGTGGATTGGTGTATATCATAGACTTGTATATAATAAATCTTTTTTTCCTTATCATAGGTAGGAAGTAACCTGCTATTTATTGATGGGATCAATATGAATATATTTAAGTAAATGGTAGTTTGTATAGAATTTAAGAAGAATTTTATGTTGATCCCAATGCAAGTTGGAAAAAAAATGTGCTTGAATAAATTAAGACAAATTTTTGAAATAAAAAGTGGTTTGAAAAAGTATTTCATTTCATAGGTATTATTTTTCCTATTACTTTTTAAAATTAGAGCCAAAATTATTAACTATGTTAAATTCAGTGTGCTTTCAGTGAAATGGTTAGACTTCCTGGTATCTGTCTTTAAAAGACTTAGTCCATGAAGGTTCTTTGTTTCCAAGTTAGAAAAGCCCTGCTATTTTTACTTGTTTATTTGCTTTTTATCTTGGACTTACTTATCCATCCTTTGTTCAGGCTTTCAACTGGCTTCTGTGCAACGTCATCCAAACAACTTCTCTCCATGATATTCTGTGGCATTTTGTGGCATCACTGACTCCGGCTCCAGTGGAACCAGAGGAAGAAGAGGATGAGGAAAATAAAACAAACAAAGAAAACACAGAACAAGTAAATGGGGTTTTTGGTTTTTTAATTGTCCATATTTTTATAGATGAGTGGAGCCACGTTCAGATAAAACAGTAATTTGCATGAGGTCATTCACAGATTATATAACCTAAAGGCAGGAATAAAATTTCAGTGCTGTGAGCAACATATGAACCATACTGAGTGAAAGTTTTGTCTCCAAAAACGCTGTCAGTCAATTCTGATTTCTCACTAGACATCGTTGTCACGAAGCAATCGACTGGAAGCTATATACTAGTGTAGTGCAATGTAAGACGGATAAAGAAGGCAGCATTATTACAGAGAGGATCGGTCTACTTCACACCATTGCTGTAAGACACCAGAGAGTAAAAATGATACTGCATAGGGGACATGAAATTCAAAACCGCTTGTCTAGAAGGGACTGGGTTTTTACAGGAGGCAACTTGCATAATGGAAGAGTGTTGGACTAGGACTCTCGCAGCCTGAGTTCCAGCCCCTTTTCTACCTCTGTAGCTGTGACTTGTGGGTCTCATTTCTATTTCTAGAACAAAAAGGTGGAAGACTAAATCCTCCATTTGAAAGGCAAAAAATGTCAGAATAATTACAAAAAACAAAAGCTAGATACTGTTTATAAGCATCACATCTAAAACTTAAGGTTATGGGAAGATTAAAAGAAGATTAGAAAAAGATACACTGGATAATTACCAACTAAAATTAAGTTGGTACAGCTATTTCAACATCAGAAAAAATAGGCTTCAAGACAAAATTATTAAGAGGAATAAAGAGGCTTGCTACAAAATGAAAAAAGTTTAATTCTAAAAATGTATCTCATTAATAAGATAGCCTTAAAAATAGGAAGTAAAAATCAATAGAACTGCAAGGAAAAATAGAAAAATACCCACAATTAACAGTGTGAGATTGTAACACATGCATAACAGCTATCTATTCCTGTATAACAAGCCACCCCAGCACTCACCAGATTAAAACGGTGGCTTGTGGGCTCACAGCTTTGTGGGTCAGCAGTTTGGGTGAGGCTCAGCTGAGGGGAACAGCTCTTTTCTGCTAGTCGATTAGTAAGCCCACTAGAATTGATGCTCATCTCAGGTATTTGGTGATTTTATTTATAGGTGACCTTATCACTTTTTCCTTAAAAATAATGTAAACATAATTCGTTGATCTTAATGGATGTTTTGGGTATGGTTTGGTGGTGGTGTTTACATTTGCCTTACACGAGTGTCCTTAAAGTATACATAACACAGTATTCTTTTGTGGGGAAAATACCTTCCAGCAAACATACTGATCAACTTGCTTTCAATTTCTGTCTTAGGAGAAAGATACGAGAGTATGTGAACATCCACTCTCAGATATAGTGATTGCAGGGGAAGCCGCTCATCCTTTACCACATACATTTCACCGCTTACTTCAAACGATCTCCGATCTTATGATGTCTCTCCCCAGTGGCAGTTCATTACAGCAAATGGCCCTGAGGTAATTTTATATCTAAGTATTCTAGGTCCCTTGTAAAAGAAATTTTTATGGAGTAGTCAAAGCACAAAGTGCTTGAAAGACCTCTTTCAAGTAAGAAAGATTCCCTGCATCATATGAATGGTGCCTCCCTTATTACTGTCATAATCTAGAACTGTCTTTCTTCTTCTGATACCTGTTAGCCCTTCTGTAAAATGTGGATAATGTACTCTTAGTGCTGTAAGTTACCACATTACCACAGTCTGTAGCAATCTTCCTCACTTTCTCCCCTCTCCTACGCCAAGTCACTTGTCTCAGTGCAACTCAAGAGCAGAATCTTAAATGTCACAAAAAGGGAGAGGGAGAATGAGATCTCAAAAACAGAAATCAAAATAGGGTTTTGAGTTGAAAAGAGTACCAAAAGAAATGGAGCCTAGTCATATGCAGCCAATCCTAAAAGTGACTTGAAGAGCATCACCTATTTTTAAGTCCCAACTTGCTGACATTTAACATTACTTTTACATTGTGAACCTTGTCATTGGAGCCACATACTAGACTACACATATAAATAAATCTTGCATTGATTTTTATAAGAAATAAGTTGATGGAGTGATTTTGGCTCCCCACATCCCTAATGATAAGACCAGCAGAGGGGAGATTTTATTTCCTTCTCTCAAAATTTTTGAAGTACAAGGTGTGTTTATACTCTGATGAACTGGTATGGAATTATAAGATTAATAAATTTGAGAGACTCTTACATTTGGGGTAACACTTGTCCACAAAACTAATTTGTTACCTTTTTTACTTCTGTAGCCTTGATCTTCATGTACCCAGTTTTTCTATATTTAAAACTTTCCTTAGAATTTATATTGTTCAAAAGAAATGACCTATATTTCTCCAAAAAAAAAGGCAAGAGTAATGATTTTGTTTCCTGAATTTTTAAAATTTGTATTTTTTGCCTAGAGCATTAGATTTCTTAAAATATTACCTATCAAGTGCTTTTTTCCCAAGAATTCCTTAGAAATTTCTGAAAAATAATTAATATATTGCTTATGCTCTTTTAGATGCTGGAGTCTGAAATTCAAGCAATCTGATCACCAGTTCCTCCATCAGAGCAATGTCTTTCATCACATTAACAATATTTTGTCGAAATCAGATGATGGAGATAGTGAAGAGAGTTTTAGCATCAGCATACAGTCTGGCTTTGAAGCTATGAGTCAGGTCGGTCATTTAACAGTTATCCTATATTATCTTATTAATACTCAACAATGTATTGAAGGAGAAACTGAAAGTTACTCATAAACAGTTTGATTCTTATTTTTTACTTCTTATCGCATGTCTGTTTGTTTTATTACCATGGAAGATTTCCGTCTGAGTATTATAATTAGGTTTATTTGTTTCCGGTAGGAATTATGCATAGTAATGTGCTTAAAGGACTTAACCAGCATCGTTGACATAAAAACTTCAAGCCGACCTGCCATGATTGGCAGTTTGACTGATGGTTCCACAGAAACCTTTTGGGAATCGGGAGATGAGGATAAAAACAAAACTAAGAACATTACCATCAACTGTGTAAAAGGAATCAATGCCCGCTATGTATCTGTTCATGTGGACAATTCCCGAGATCTTGGGGTAAGAAAGGAAACTTAATTTGTAGTTCGTTAGTTCTTTTCAGACCTTTAGTAATCATGCATTCTCATTTCTGAGTTTAGCAAAAAGATTTTCACCTGGAACTTCACCAACCAAACCACATTTTTGTATTTCCAAAACAAATCTTTTAAAAAGTCTAAAAACAGATTAATGTGATTAGGAGCACCGAGGAATTCCATTTATAAGAAAAGGTCTGATTACAAATATACCATGGCTATAGCTAAGCAAAATAAATAATTACTTTATAATTTTTTACCTCCATGCCTTTGTTCAAGCTATTCCTTTGACCTGAAAGTCCTCCCCTTAAAGTCTGCCTTTCAGATTCTCCCTACATCTAAGACCCAGCAGACAAATCCTCTCCCAGCCCCTCTTTCCTCTCCTCTGGTTTCTTTTTCACGTTACTCTGATGGCACTTAGTATACTCTGACCTATAGTGTAATTAGCTTTCAGTTTTTAACCCTCACCCCCCAGCCATCATGGGGGAGTTGGAAGGAGTTCCTGGACTGACCTAAATAATCATGACTTACGGTCTCCCTAGCTCTAGTTTTTCTACATGTTTCAGCTGAATTGAACACTCTTTTACAATAAGCACTAAACAGGAAAAAGCGCCCTATTTGCTTGAGTGTTAATAACCAAGAAGAAAGTAGCACCAACGGCCAGACCCCCATGCTTCCAGCCCATTCCTGGGGAAGGATGCTTCTTGATGTCTTATCCCTCAAGATGGATGCGGCTTGCTAGCAGATGTAGTATTAATAAGTCTCCTTGGGCCACTGCCATTCTGCTCCTATTCCGTTTATGCATTTCCCTTCCCAGAGGGGCCAGAGTGGCGGGTTTGGGTCTCAGATAACCTACATGGAGAACACCAGCCACAGAAGTCCAGTCTACAGATCACTCCTTGCCATCCACAGCCACCCCAGCTTCTGTCCATCAGTGCAGATTAAATAAGAAAAAAGGCCTAGCTAATATATCACTAGCTTATCTCCTCTTGAGACCCAAGAGTTTAATTGGTACAACTACTTTATCTTACTGGAAAGTCAAGTGTAATAAATCAAAACATTTTTCTGGCTGGAACTCACTGCTCAGTACAGTGTTATCTTTGATTCATATTTTAAGCCAGCACATACTCACCCTCAGAACCATGGTTGCAATCAATTTGACGTTTTTGCCTTTTAGGATAGAAAATCATGACAATATTCATTTTCAAAAGCCCCAGTATGTATTGCTGACATCCGCCTTCCTTTTAGGAAACCTCCTCTAAGTTATATGTGTTATGTAACTCTGTGTCCCCCGGCCTGCCCCCAACACTGCCTTAAACACAGCATTTGTTGGTTTGAATTACATCAGCCAGTAGCACTTCAAGCATGCAGCTCTCCAAGGATTTAATATGTCAATCTGTTTCTTGCTGTGCTTGGCACAAAACTTACTCAAACTTAAAGTCTCTGGCTCTAGTACCAGCATGACTCTTTTCAGTGGTTAAAGGTATTGAATTTCTTTTGATATTTACTTGTGTGTTAATATTCCTTCCCTAGTCTGACAAGGATCTCGAGAGGCTAGAGCCCATCATTCTCATATATCCTTCTCTAAGTCCGTAAGGCAATCTGGTTACATCATGATACTCACAAATGCTTGTTGCTTAAGGTACCCACCTTCCTTCCTTTTACCTCCAGAAGCAGTGAGAGTAATGTGATGAGATTGGGACATGAGTGACAAGGCTTCATGATAGAGACAGAATTTAAATGATTAGACTTTGGGATGAAGATAGGGAATGCCAGCCTCCTCTCTCAGCCCATAGAGAAGGGCCGAAATGTGAGATTCAAGATGGAGTTTGTGAAAATAAGAAAAGATGGGATGGAGTTGTAGGAACTGAGGTTTGTCGGACAGATGGGATGAAGTCAGTTAGGAAGGACCGTAAAAGAAAAGCAGGAGAGTTGATGTGACATTGCTGTGCTGTAAGAAATCACTGGGAGTTCTGGAGCCAGGAATACGGCATAATGACTATTTTGAATTGTCTGTTTTAGAATAAAGTTACCTCAATGACCTTCCTAACTGGCAAAGCAGTAGAAGATTTGTGCAGAATAAAGCAGGTAATTAAAGTTTTGTCATTAAATGTTTTACTGCCCAGGGAGAAATTTCTTCTTCTTAGTTTCCACTGTTGAGTTCTAATTTTGGCATGCCACCAAAGTATTATAGGAAATCATCTGTTTACAAAACACTAAATTGACAAATGGTCCACAGATAGGAAGTTACAACCATCCCTGTGCTAAGCATCTTGCCCATTATTCCCCTAAATGTTTTTTAGTCATGAGCAATTATACTGTGTCTATAGTCCTCCACTCTGACTGCTGCCCCACTGCAGAGATTAAGGGTGCCTTAAAATTCATCATAAGTCTGATTCACAATTATCACCTTAATTCATGTATACTTCAGATTAAGATGTAGGTGGTTGTCCTCTAGCCTGAAAATGTTTCACTTATAACACTGCAACTACATCCAAGTTGAAAGTCAGTTTACAAACCAAGTCTCAAAACAAGTTAAGTTTTATCTGGACATGTGTCTGAGATTCTGTATAAACTCACTCACTTGTATTAGTGAAACTTTATCAAAACTATTATTCTATAGCTACTTTATCCTGTGAAAGTTGATCACTTGTTTTGTTTTATTTTTCCAAATCATATTGAAAGAATGAAGTGAGATTTTAGATTAAATAAATAATACATTTCATCTAAATTTTTAAAGAGTTTGGGTAAATAATCCTATTAAATTAGATGGTATTTGTTTATGCTTAATGCTCTTTTTAGAAAAATGACATTATCAATTAAAATAATATCAATTTAGTTGTCTACAAAAACAATATAGAAGTCCCAGGCCATTTCTTGGACATCAGATACCATAAGAGTAATTTTCATTTTACCAAGTGAATAGTGTCAAAAACCATTTCACAGTGCATTGAAATTTAATCCTTGAAAAAAGTAATATTCTCAATGAAATATAGTGAAATAAGTAATCAAAAATGTGAAGTTACACATTATATAATTTTTCTTCAAAAGTAAAACATATTAAGTAACTGCACATCAAAAATCCTTGCTTTAAATGTGCTTTAAATATGAAGATGCACAAAACAGAACTTCATTGCTGATCACGTGAGTGTTTCTACTTGCAGTCAGTATAGGTAAAGTCACATGAATTGTCTGCTGTAGTTTCACTTATGTAACTTGTGCTTGGAAGCCAGACCTGCATTTTAATTCTCAACTCCGTCACTTACTAGAATCCTTCCACCGGCGTTAACCTCACTTTCTTCATCTGTATAATGGCTGCTCTAGTATTACTTATCCTCATGAGGTTTGAATAAGGTAATCAGCGTGAAGTAACCTGATAAACTTCACTGCGTGTACAATTATTTATTATTTGAGCTTGTTGTTATTAACACTAAGTCTAGGATAGAGAGAAAATGGTGATACACCTGTATCACTATAAGGTTTCTGTCCCTTTTCTGCTCTCCTAGGTTGATCTGGATTCCAGGCATATAGGTTGGGTAACAAGTGAACTTCCAGGAGGGGATAATCACATCATCAAAATTGAATTAAAGGGCCCAGAAAACACACTGAGAGTTCGACAAGTTAAGGTTCTGGGCTGGAAGGATGGCGAAAGCACAAAGATTGCTGGCCAGATTTCAGCCAGTGTGGCCCAGCAAAGGAACTGTGAAGCTGAGACTCTGCGAGTGTTCAGACTCATTACATCACAAGTGAGTGTCCCTACCACATATTCGAGCACAGGATAAATTGAAATAATGTGCTACTTCAGTAATAATACCAAGAGGGCAACAGAATATTTTGTAAAACTTGTTAGAGATTGCTGGTTCACATGTGACCCATTTTTCCTTCTCATAGCCCTAAATTCTTGCGTTTCATTTTGCATTCATAATTCTGAGAAGCAGTGGTGTGTAGCCGAAGTAGCACAGTAGCATCATAAAACCTGCAGAGTCGGCTGCTGAGTCCTTTGGCCTTCACAGCCGTGACTCCCGCTGTTAATTTGCTCTCCCGTTCCTGTGTTCTTCATCAGGTGTTTGGAAAGCTCATCTCTGGAGATGCTGAACCGACGCCAGAACAAGAGGAAAAAGCACTGTTGTCATCACCTGAAGGAGAGGAAAAAGTATACAATGTATTTACTTGTATTTAAAAATATTTATTTCCCTTTCTTATTTTCTTACTTTTGTGAAATCCATGTATTGCTGTGTTTTTTAATAGATATGTGATACTAGTTTCTATGCAGTTAATATTTTTTCCTTTAATTAGAAGGAAGGTGAAGAAACTATCACACATGTGTTTGGTAAATTTTTATTGGAATAACCTGCTCTTTGTACTGTTTCTGAAATTTCTTCTAAAATGCATTTGCCTTACTTAATTGGTCCAAACTAAAGCACTGTATCTAAGAGGAAAACTTCATCCATTTTCAAAAAGAGAAGTCAACCTTGACAGCTCTTCGAAAGATAATTTCAAGGACTCACCTAGGCTAACCCTGTGCCTTCTGGTACAGTAGTGTCTAAATCATTCACATTTTTCTCTTTGGGGGTCTGTTAAAAAAATAGGACTTTATAAACCCTGGTAATTTTCTTCAGCATCTTTTGGAGATATCATTTGGATGACTACAAGACTGAGTAACTGCTCATTAAATCAACTAAATTTTAACAAATGGCAGCTCTTTGCTAAACAACTTTGAGAACTGGTACCAAGCTCGCAAAAAGCTTCTGTTCTTAGGTATGAGCAGTCCACCCTCCCCACCCAAAAAAAAGAGATCGACAGGGGTACTTTTTAGTATAAAATCAAAGTATTAAATATGTAGAAAATTGCACATGTCATAGGATTCAGAGTACATTGAGATTATTGTGCCCTGGAGTGATCAGACAAGGCTTCTTGGGGGATATTGGACTTGAGTTAGACCTGAAAGAGAATGGATGAAAGTTAGATTAATAGGATGGGAGCAAGGGCACATTGAAGAGGCTGACCTAACATTAGGCTTTAAGGTTGAATAGGAGAGGTTATATTAGTCATTGGATGCCGGTGGAATAACATAACTTTTAAGGGAATCATTTCTTAAGTCAGGTTTTTGAAATAAAATTTACATACAGAAAAATTCATCCTTTTAAACTGTATTATTGGATGAATTTTGACCAGTGCATACAGTGGTGAAACCGCCACAATCAAGCTTTAAAACACACCCCTCCCGGAATTTCCCTGATGTTTTTATGTGCTCGATCCCCTCATCTCACTCCTAGCCCTTGACAACCACTGAACTATTTTCTGCCCCTACAGTGTGGCCCTTTCCCAGATGTGATTTAGTGAAACCGTATAGAAAGTAGCCTTTTTATCTGGTTTCTTGTACTTAGTGTAAGAGCATGTGTCAGTAGTTTGTTCTTTAGGTTGCTGAGAAGTAACTGTAATATACTCTTAATATACTCATAATGTAACTCATAATATACTCTTATTATCCTTCTAGTATCAGTAGACTTTATAGTGATAGATCTTCTTTTGTTACGTCTTTCCATCTCTTTGCTTCAAGTTTGGTTTGTTCTTTTTCCCATTTCTTAATATCCTAATATGATGACTTGAGACCTTTCTTTTCTCACATAAGTAATGCTGTAATCTTCTAAGGACTGCTTTCGTGTCACAAATTTGGGTGTGTTGTGGATTTTGTTTTGTTTTTTTTCATTTCATTCAGTTCAAAATGCTTTCTGACTCCTATTTTGATTTCTTCTTTGACCTCTGGGTAATTTAGAAGTATCTTGTTTAATTTCTAAATATTTGGAAGTTTTCCTGATAGCTCTCTAATATTAATTTCTAGTTTAATTCCATTGTGGTCAAAAACTACACTTTGTCTAATTTCATCCCTTTAATTTTCAGATTGTTGAGACCCGAATTCTGGCTCATAGGACAGTATAGTTCCGTGCATGTCCATGTGCACTTGACAGGGATGTGAACTCTGCTGTTGTTCTGTGAAGGGCTCCACAAATATTAGTTAATTCAGTTCCTTGATTGTTTTGTTCAAGTCTTTAAGAACCTTACTGATTTGTGTTTGTTTGCTCATTTACTTGTTCTGTCAGGTACAGGGAGAATTTTGAAGTGTCTGACTATATGGATTTGTCTATTTAGATTTTAGTTCACCTGGTTGCCCATTTCAGCTCTCTGATGGGCACCCAAAAAGTTATGATTTTGTAGATTATCAACTTTTCTCATTGTTAAGGTGGGAGTGACATTCTCTGTGGCTTTCTCCATCCTAAAAAAAGTGAAACCAAGGAGTCATTTTTTTGTTCTCAGAGAAGAGTGATTTGCTTTAGTTTTCTTACCTGTAAAGTAAGCAGAACATCAGATCTTACCTTGTGAGGTTTTTGTAAAAATTAAATAAGATTTGTCTGTGTGTGTGTGTGTGTGTGTGTGTGTGTGTGTATTTATTTCTGTTTGTATATTTATCACTTAAAAGAGTACCAAACACGTGATACGTGCTATGAAACGTCAACCTCCATTTGTCTTCTTTTGGTATGTTTCTTTGATTGCTGTTGCTGTTAGAGTAGCTTCATTGAAGACCATTATCAGAGTTTTGTTAGGACACTTCCCTTTTAACTAAATGTCATTTTCCAGAGTTGCTCTTCTGATAACCAAATGTAGGATGTGAACTAATAATGTTCATAATTTAGAAGTAGTTTCAAAGTGACAGAAATTGACTAGATTAAAGAAATACATGAAGAATACTTCTCTGAATTTCTTAAATTCACAAATTTTGTCCGTTTTGTAGTCACTTTAGCCAATAGTGATTAAATTCACCTTGTAAAAATACCTGCATGATTATTTCTCAAGATACTTCAAAATGTCAAATGTACAAATTTTATTGAAAGAGTTTGCTTTCTTTTTTTCCCTTTTCTATGTAAAGGCAACATCAGATGCTGACCTGAAAGAACATATGGTTGGAATCATATTCAGCAGAAGTAAACTGACTAACCTACAAAAACAGGTTGGTTAATAGCCATTTCATTGTCTTCATCAGTTTTTGTTTGTTTGTTTTAAGGTATAAAGCATTTTCCAAAATTTATGGAGGCTTTTTTATGCTGACTCTTTTATAGGTCCTGCCTTTTTCTAGAGAGGAAGGAATATATTGGCATACCTGCATCACTTTAAAGATTTTGTTATGAATGTTAACTTTCTTACCTTGCTGCTTTTTGTTTTTCTCATTTTCAGGTAGATTGTTTCATTTTGGTGTCAAATACCCACCTATATCATATTTCATTTGCATTTCCTGTGTTCCTTTCCCCACTGTTTTTGTTGTTGTTGTTGTTGTTGGCTGGTTGATTTTTAAAAAAATTATTTTCCCAAGCAGTTACAATGTTAACTACACCAGCACTGATATTTTTAATTCAGGAGTTGGGGGAGTAGTAGTAGATTGTTCATATTAATGATGTGCCTGAGTAACATAAAAATTAGCCCTTCAAAAGTCAAATAAAATACTTGAATTAGGTTTTAAATTAGCATATTATTTTAACTTTCAACACCATTAAATCTTTTAAATAAATAACATAAATATATTTGTGCTTTATCTTTTTAACAACATTTTATTGAGTCTTAGAAGCTACCGGTTGTAGAGCATGCAGTTATTTTATGTTATCACTAAAAAAAAAAAATTGCTGCCAATTACTTTATGAATTGTGTCCGTTGTAAAGCACATGAATATAAATGGGGGGTGCCTTAGAAGTGATTAAATATGGTAATTTGTTTTCATTTGCTATCTTTAACCGCAATCGGGGGAATTGGTAACTAGTATATAATTCACTTCTATACTAGTTGATTTAGGCATTCAGATTTTTAATCATGGTTCCCCTGGTTTTCCTTGTTTTTAAGATGGGTTAAAAGAATAGTACATTGGAGAATTAACTGGGAAAAAGACTATTAGACTGCATATCAACTAATATTCTTGGGGGGTTTTTTGGGTTTTTTTAACTAAAACTTACACATATCTTTTTACATTTTCTTTATTTTGCCCTCAAATAGGTGTGTGCTCACATTGTCCAGGCTATCCGCATGGAAGCCACCAGAGTTCGTGAAGAATGGGAACATGCCATATCGAGCAAAGAAAATGCCAATTCCCAGCCTAGTGATGAAGATGCCTCCTCCGATGCCTACTGCTTTGAGCTGCTCTCCATGGTCTTGGCCTTGAGTGGCTCCAACGTGGGCCGACAGTATCTGGCCCAGCAGCTGACTCTGCTCCAGGACCTCTTCTCACTGCTCCACACCGCCTCTCCGCGAGTCCAGAGACAGGTGGCTGGTCATACCACTTACCTTGTGGTTATTTTGTTCCTTGAAACTTTGTTAAAAATTACTGTAGCAAAGAGAAGTGGTTTTGGGCTTTTTTACGGTTTTTGTTACGTTTTGGGTTTTGGATTGTATTTTTACTCCATGCTTCTTATTTTTCATTCATTATAATGAGAATACGGAAGAGCGAAATATGTTTCATTTTCCTGATATGTTTTTGTGAAGAGTATTCTGGCTACTGAATGTAATTATTACCATGAGATATATAATGTCATTATAATGATAAAGTAAGAGATATGCTTTTTTTCTTGCTGTCCTGAAGTGGTAGTAACCACTTGAGAAATTAAATCATGTTTAAATCATTTCCCTGTCCTTCTCAAAGCTTTTAAAGTCATGGAATGATAGCTAGACTCATTAAAAAATGAAAACTTTAAAACACCAGTCTTTACATAGGATTTTTTTTCTTTTCTTTTTCTTACTAGGTGACCTCCTTACTAAGACGAGTTTTGCCTGAAGTGACCCCTAATCGTCTAGCCAGCATTATAGGAGTGAAATCCCTCCCCCCAGCAGATATCAGTGATATTATTCACTCAACCGAGAAAGGAGATTGGAATAAGCTAGGTATCCTGGACATGTTTCTAGGATGCATTGCCAAAGCGCTCACAGTACAGCTCAAAGCCAAAGGAACCACCATCACAGGAACAGCTGGTACCTCCGTGGGCAAAGGAGTTACAACAGTTACCCTTCCGATGATTTTCAATTCCAGGTTGGTCACTGCATCTGTTTTAGTACAGAAATAGAACAGAGTGAGCTAGTATTTGGAGAATTAAAACATTTCAAATTTCACCTTGTTTGCTTATTTCCCGGAAATGAAAGCCATAAGTGACTGACCCATGTATAAAAGAGGATACTGTATATAATAAAAGTGTCTTTTCAAATTAGTGGGGAAAGGAAAGTTGGCTGAATATATAACATTAGAATAGTTCCCAAGTACAAAAAAAGATTGTATGTCCTCACATCATATACAAAATAAACTTGAGATCAATTAAAGCTTTATTTATATATTATTTAAACTCAAATAAGACAAATTATAGAAGAATGTTTTTATAATCTTCAATTTGTGAAGACCCTTAAACAAAACACAGAACGTGAAAATAACTCACAGATTTGGCTACATAAAAATAGAAATTGATAGACAATACTATTAAAATGTTTTAAAATACAAATAACTGACTTGGGAAAAAATATTGAACACTTATATAGTAGGCAGTGAATTATTACTCATAATGTTATAAGAATGACTACAAATCAATGAGAAAAAGACAAAAAACTGATACAAAAACAAATGACAAGAACAGTCAGTTCAGAGAAGAAAAATTACAAATGCCAATAAATAAATGAAAAGATACTTCACAGGTAATCAGAGAATTATAGATTAAAACAATAGGAAGATGTCCTTGCATTGGCAGCATTATGAAGAAATAGGTACTTTTTTATGACCTCTAATGTAAATTGCTGTAACCTTTTGGGATGTCAGTTTGATAACATATCACTGTATTTAAAATGTGCATATCCTTTGACCTACCAATTCTACTTCTTATAGAACTGTTTCTCTCAAAAATGTTCATACATATGCACAAAGATATATATGCAGGGATGTTTGTTACAGAATTGTGTATAACAGCAGAAAATTGGAGACGTCTGGAATGATGCTAGGAAAAGAGCCAATTCATGACATTAAGCAGATAGCACCAGAATGTAAATAAGTGTATCCCTTTATTCATCTGGATAGTCTCGCTCAGGGGGAAAAAATGCCAGCTGAACTAAACAGTAGTATGCTCAGCGATGTAATTGGCATACTCCGGTACAAGCTCTTTATTATGTTTATGTGGACTGGTAACAAATAGTCTGTGGTCTCTGGATATAATTCGAATAGCACTGTCCTAGAAGATGTATACAAAAGTAATATATATACAGTGAAATATTTGAAAGGGAACATATATCAATAGTTACCCTCTTGGGGTTGAAGAGATAGATTATGAGTAATGCATGTTTTGATTTATTGTCTTTTAAAAAATGCCCTGACTTACTGAGTCATTTTAAAAATTAAAATGTGCATGCTGAAATAACAGTTTTCGTCTCATTCATTTGTAACTGTCACTGATTAGCTTGCAAATGCTGACTTTTGTTTGTAGTTATATTCGACGAGGTGAAAGTCATTGGTGGATGAAGGGCTCAACTCCTACCCAGATCTCAGAGATCATCATTAAACTTATTAAGGATATGGCAGCAGTAAGTTCCCATCCCCCTGGTCATTATGTCAGTGAATTGCTGTAGAAACCTGATTAACAAAAAAGTAGCTTTTTCTACTGAATTGATAGAAGAACATTCTTACTATTTGCTTTACTTACAGGCTCTCTTCATAGGTTCACTATCGCACCATTTGTCTTCAGTTGGTGATAAATTTGCCCATTGTGTAAACTGTGTTCATTTCAAGCTTCCCAATTCATTTACTTGAGAATTAGTACATAAGTCTTCCAAGACTTTAAAACTTAAAAAATAAACCATACTGTCTGAACCCTAAAAAACAGTCTGAGTCCAAGAGCCTAAAGGAAAAAAGGGGCTCTTCAAAGTGATGGTTTCTCATGATCTTTGGTTCTCACAGTTTATCATCGTCCTATGCTGCTGTCTTCAGATACTTTGCGGGGAGGTCTGGGAGCATGGAGGAAAGAGAATTGCTTCTCAGAATGCCAGGTTCTTACTGGTTGCTCCACGTTAGTTTCCTCACATACCGTTATATTTCCAGGAGTCCAGCCTGAAGAGGGCAGGACACTGCTGTGGATGCTGTGTCCTGAGAGGAAGGGTAGACAGAAGGCATTTTGGAGGAGGAGAAATTTGAATTTGAACTGTCCCTGTAAAGACTGACAGCATGTGGATGTGAGACGAGGAAGGATAGTCTGGGGAAATGTGAAAATCTGTCACTTTTCCCAACAGCATGGACATTTCCTACGTCAGAGAAATGGAGAACTTTTTCAGTTCTCAAATAGACTTTCCCAGTATGTTCATTGGATGGAAATATTTAGGAAAGATGTTTGGGAACACCTAAATTCTATAGCAGTTAACATATTCGTGTTTGGTGAAAAACCAAGTTAGCAAATTAAAGTGGTGGTAATTGGAACCCATTTGTGCTCTTGGGTTCCAGTAACAATCATCTAAAGCAATTAGCTTAGCTGTATGAATTTCATGTTAAATAGCAAAGTTTCATAATCAAGATTTCTCAATCATAGACACCTTAGTATTTCTGAAATGTTTTTATCTAAATGTAAGAAAAAATACCCTTGAACTCTGTAGGGAAAGAGTGTTGAGAATCTAAATTTTTATTTCCTTTTCTTTTGAATCATCAAAATAGTGAATAGAAGTTGAATTTTTTGCATGGTTGTGAAGGATATTTATTTTAAAGTATGCTCATTTATCTAAAACCCCACTAGCAAATAAATCTTTCCTTTTTGGAGAGAGATGTTAAAAGAACAGAATTTGCTGCTTTGATTATACATTCTGGTTGCTTATTAAAGTATTGTGTCCTGCTCATTAGGGTCATCTGTCAGAAGCATGGTCCCGAGTGACAAAAAATGCCATAGCAGAAACCATCATTGCCTTGACCAAGATGGAGGAAGAATTTAGATCTCCAGTGAGATGTATCGCAACAACTAGGGTAGGTTTCTTTTCATTTGGTCTATATCATTGCATGTTCTTTTTCAGTACTAGGTTTGAACAAATAATTAGCCAGTTTAATCTCCTTTTCTTTTCTCACCAAATATTGTATTTATTGAAAAAGTATGAAGGGCTTTTTTAAATTGTGAACCAAGCATGGTGTTATTAATATTCACTGTTGTATGTTCTTCATCACTTGTTTCGGTTATTATTTAGGAAGCTAAGGTTAGAAAAGGCTAAATTATCTATATCGGTGTACTGTCTCTCTGATGATGTATTTACTGTTAGTTTTAGTGTCAGCGTGAAACTGCGATAGACTGAAGATCCTCCAAAGACAAGGCCGCTACCTGCTCCGTTCGGAGTGGCTCACTTGTCCTAACAGAGCCCCGTGGCCTACTTACTGCATGTGTGGGCCTTACCTAAGCAGAAAGTGTGTGCCTAGGGCGGGGCAGGGCAGAATCTCCTAGAGAGTGAGACTGCATTCTTCAGATGAGACATCTATTGTAAATTTTAACCTGCCAAATTTCTTGTCCCATATACTTCCAAAAGAGATTTGAGATTTCCTTGAAGCAGAACAGTGTGAAGCATTAGGAAGAAGTAAAGGCTGGTAGAAATTGCTTAAGTTAATCCTCAAAAGTTTGAAAAAGAAGATAAATTGTGTCTCCCTTGGGCAGAAAAAGCTAGTTAATGCCATGTTGCCAGTGAGTGTGACGTCTGACAGTGACCCTTCCCTACCCCACACGCATTCATTCCTTCATTCACTCTCCCCTTTCTCCTCTCATACTTCAGTTTTCTTTTTTGGTACCTCTTTCCCTCTTTCCCCCCCTCTTACTCTTCACATCTAGTGGCACATGCACTTTTCAGAGCTGAGACAGTTAAGTAATTTTCTGTTGTTCAGTAATGAAGAAATATATCATTCTATGGAAAAATGAGGCTTACCCTTTAAACCTCAGAGAGTTTTAAACTATTTTTAAGGACAGTTTTCTGAAGCTTGTAAGACATTTACTTTTTTCTGAACGAGTGTACCAAGCATAGTGCTAGGCCTTTAGGGGCATGCAGAGACTTCTGGGGAACTGTTACTACCCAGCTCCTCATGGGACTGCAAAATTAAACAGCTCCAGTCCTTGGAATCTAATGCCTCAGGCAGATGATACTAGATGGAAAAATGTGTAGAAGGCATCGGTATATTAAATATGAAAATTTATGTATTGCTATGTTGTTTACATAGTAGACCAACAAAAGATAATTTTATGTGTCAGGTAGACAACAGAATGGTTCATCAGAGCAGCAGTTATTTATTCAGTACATATTTGCATACCTACTATGTGCCTGGCACACACAGCAGTGGGCGTGTATGCCTGGTGCCCCATCAGGAACGCTTGAGTGCCACTGGATATGTACACTTTTTCCAGTCCAGCGAGCATTTACTGAGCTATGGTCATGTGTCAGGCAGACAGTGTTTTGTGTCATAACCAAAAACTCAGTAGCGTAACAGCCTTTCCCTTCGACAGCTCTGGCTTGCTCTGGCATCACTGTGCGTTCTTGACCAGGACCACGTAGATCGCCTCTCCTCGGGGAGATGGATGGGGAAGGATGGGCAACAAAAACAAATGGTAAGCTCAGAAGTCAAAATACACAGTTAGTGGAACTCCTGAAAAATTGTGTCACACTGCCCAAGATCCTCTCACAAGTCTTTTTCACCTAGGGTCCCCTTTCATAGTACATTAGGGGATTTAATTACATAAAAAACATTTCCCACCTGACTACAACTCAATTAAAAGAATGTTTTAAAAAAAGAATCTTTTCCCTTCTTCTCTGAGTCATGTTTGCATCATAGCAAAATTTGACTTCAGCCAGACTCTGATTCTAGATCAAGATTTTGTACTAAATGTGATCAGTCCTACGATAAGAAGGAAATAAAGCAGTAAGAGAGCAGCGTGATGTACCACTTGCACACAGATGCACCTGAAGTGGGTTTGATAAGTATCCGTAGGTTCACTGGAAGGGAGAACTTTTACATAGGCCCTTTCAATATTTTCGTATTAACATTCAAGTTTCAAAAATGAATTATTTATTTACTCACTTAGCATACAGAATGTTTGACTATAATGGGAGAAATTTTCTCAAGTCTCTAAGAAAAGTATACATGTTTATTTTATTAATCATTGAATCCACACAGCACATTAGCTACTGAATTGGGGATTTTGAGGCTTTTTTATAGTAAGTGCATTTGCCATAACTGTTTAATGTTCAGACTCTAAATTTCTTAATTGAGTTTTGAATAACAGTCTGTTCCTGTTGTAAATAAATTACAGTCAACTTGTATGCGTATTTAAGAGTTTCTCATTAATCCATGGTCACGTATGGAAATGTCTTGTAGCCTATGTGTGATAACCATGACGACGGTGAAACTGCAGCAATCATCTTGTGCAACGTGTGTGGGAACTTATGTACTGACTGTGACAGATTCCTTCATCTTCATCGGCGAACCAAAACTCATCAAAGACAGGTGAAGATTTCTGTATTTACACACAGAACGGCATCTGGGACATAAAATATATTCAGTAAATTTTGCAATAAATGTGGGAAAGAGACTTGGTGTGATGGGAAAAAACAGACTTTGATCAGAGACCTGAGTGGGGTTCCCAACAGCCTCATTTACCAACTGTGTAAATCAAACAAGTTGTTTAACTTCTGAGACTCGGTCTCCACACTTACAAAAGTAGGGCTGTTGTGAAGATTAAAGAGATTGGAAATACCTGAAACTTCATAGAGTGCTTAGTAAATAAAAGGCTGTTTTCATTATTGAATAATTGAATTTTATACTTCCTCTTTCAGGGCGATAAATACATTTTTTCCTTTTCTTTAATGACACAATAGGTCTTCAAAGAAGAAGAAGAAGCTATTAAGGTTGACCTTCATGAAGGCTGTGGTAGAACCAAATTGTTCTGGCTGATGGCGCTAGCAGATTCTAAAACAATGAAGGCAATGGTGGAGTTCCGAGAACACACAGGTATAAGAGGATTTAAGATTGAACCACGCTGTAAATAAAAGATTGAACCATCCCTACCAATTACTATTAAACTGGATGTTAGTTTATTTAATGTGAATAATTTTGAGTGTATTCTAAGTGCTTATGACGTTATTGCTCACCCTCTATATTTTTGTATTTAGTAGACAATAGTCAGTGTTCTATGGCAAACCATTTAGACTAAAAGTCAGGAAAGCTGGTTTGCTTCTAACTAGCTACATGACCTTGGGCAAGTCATTTTATCTTTAAAACATTTTGATTTTTTTCCTAAAGTCTAGTGTATTGCCAGCTTCAGGGTACATTGAATCTAAAAAATTCTCAATTTTCAGCACCTCTATAGTCTGCCATTTGTCTGAATGACACAAATTTCTGATTTTAGAGTTAGGTGTAAACCTGACAAATTTTTAACTCTAAATATGAGTAACTTTTCATGCTGTAAGGGCATGGTCTTTCTTTCTCTCACAGTTGATTTTTTTTCGCCTATAATCCCTCCATGCCACTTATTACATGAGTAAGTGTTCTAATGTTTGAACCATCATTGTATTCATAACATAAACTAGCCTTTAAAAAAAACATTTTCTGTAGTAAATATTGCTAAATTCAGTTATTTAAATTTTTTGTATCTGTTTAAAAATGACCTTGGTCTGTATTTTTCAGATCTTGTTCTTTTTCCTTTTAGTCTGTCTTTGTTTTATGGATTCTGTTCCTTATTTGACTATTTTAAACATATTTAATTTCCTTTTCAAATTGTTCTATTATCTTTAGTTCCTTGGGTGAGAATTCTTCTGTTTTTCACTTTACATATTCTCTGATGATAGGTTGCTTTTCTCCTCTGCCTTGTAATATTATCATTGTGGAAAGGTACTTAGTGATTTCCCTTTCTTCTGCGTATTTCCATTTAGTTTCTGTTGTTATATTTTGTCTGATTCCGTGCTTTTGTAGTGAGGGGCTTACCTAGCTGCTCGACCTACTGTCTTGACTAGAAGCCTGGTCTGTTTCTATTTACTGAAAAAGTGTAAGTAAATCAGTTAATAATTTATTTGGCTTCAGGTAGCTCTTTGGTTTCTTATCCTTTGGTGTGTGTGTGTGATTATTTACTTTGTAATTAGGGCAGCTTACAACCTTCCAGCTGTAAAACTGCCAGGCTGATTTCTCAGAAATAGCAACTGACAGAAACCTGTTTCGCTTGGTTGTTTGTTTTTTTTTTTTCCAATTAGCTATATTGAAATATGTAGAAAACATATCCTTGGGGATGATTTTTCTTCTTCTGCTTGAACCTAGGCAAACCCACCACAAGTAGCTCGGAAGCATGCCGTTTCTGTGGTTCCAGGAGTGGCACCGAATTATCCGCTGTTGGCAGTGTTTGTTCCGATGCAGATTGCCAGGTGCGTGTAGATGAAGCCCTCACAGTAAGCATGTGTTCCCTCATGACACGCTAATGTCATATAAATTAGAGTTTGAGCGCAGCATCACTTTTGTTTTCTAAATTAGTGTATTGCCCTTGTGAAGAGTGAAATGCTTTAATCAAAGCTGGAGAATGGATCAGATAAGGCTCTCAGGTTAAAATCAGTAGACTGCATTTGCTTTGCCTCTTACATATTTTATTCACTTGTTTCCCTAAAATAAACTTCCAGTATCTGAAAGTTCTTTAGTCCTGAACATCTGTACACATTCCATGCTATCCAAATATGTTTGATTCTTCAATTTAGTTGACAGGAATTGGGATAGTGTTCAGACAGTGAAAGATAGCTATATATATTTTTTTCAATCCTCGTTTTGGTGAGGGGTAGGTGGTAATGGGATGATTATATGTCAGGAATTTTTTTTTGCTTCGTGGCTATCCATGATAACATATAGATTGAAACTGCATTTCACTTTTTAATCAGCATTCCCTTTATGTGGAATGAAATTTTTTGAATCACTTTAAAGAGAAATAGACTTTGTTAATAATTCTAAGTTATATACAAAAAAGAATAAAAATAACAATTTTATTTCACCACAACATGTTTCCTATGGGAAAAATATCTTGGAAAATTAATATAGTGGATATAATTACCAGGATGTGTGACTTTTTTTGATATTTTCTGTGCCGTTGTAATCCATCCTTCACAGGAGTATGCTAAGATCGCCTGTAGTAAGACGCATTCTTGTGGCCATCCATGTGGAGGCGTTAAGAACGAAGAGCACTGTCTGCCCTGCCTACACGGCTGTGATAAAAGTGCCACGGCCCTGAAGCAGGATGCCGACGACATGTGCATGATCTGCTTCACCGAAGCGCTCTCGGCAGCACCAGCCATTCAGGTTGTCTCCGCTTTTAAAGTGTTAAGTGTGTCGAGGTTTCTAAACAGGAAATATAAATATACTTGTCAAATAAACAGATGATTGGATCTTTCTTATACCATTGGGAGAAAATGTCCCACTAATATCCACCAGTGTATTAAAGAGCAGATTCTGTCTCTGCATGTTCTGTCTCCATCCTGTATGCTGAGCTTTAATTCGTGACTTGTGTGAGCCTGTATAATCAGCAGAATGTATGAAATGTTCATAAGGGAGAAAATAGTAATTCGATTATCCGGTAGTTTCTCCCTTCTTAACTTCCAAAATCCGGCATGGTATTCTGTAGCGTTATGTAACTGATCTCTGCATTATGATATATATCCCTGTATCCATAATGTGTATTAGTAAATTATAGAAGTTATAATTTGCTAAATACATTTTTGAACATTTACTACTTGTTTATATTTTCAGTTCGACTTCAAGATAATGAATATTCTCAAAAACAAATCTTATATCTTTAAATCAGTAATTTCCTCTTCTTTCTGTGAGAGACAGTATTAAGTAATTTTACATTTCTCCCGAACCCAGCTCACACTCTGTAAGGTGGCATTAACATACGAATGGTAAAAAATTGGGAGAAGCTGAAGACCTAGTTCCTTATGTCCCGTGACTGGTAGAGAAGTGCTGAAATGTCATTGTACTAAATTTCTAGATTTTTCTCATACCTGCCTTACGTAGTACTTCCTGCATTAATAATCTGCCAGTTACCCAACTGTTTATTCTTATTACATTTGCTTACATTCTTCTGTTTTCTTCACTTAAGCTGGACTGTAGTCACGTATTCCACTTACAGTGCTGTCGACGAGTCTTGGAAAACAGATGGCTTGGTCCAAGGATAACATTTGGATTTATATCTTGTCCCATTTGCAAGGTATGGAAAGAATCAGAAATTATCTACTTTCTATTTATTTTCGTCTTTATCTTTCATCTTTCAGAATAAACGTATCAGCATCTCTCGGTGTCCTTTTCAGTCTGCTTTTTACCACCAACCCTCAGTTTCTGCTCTCTTCATCCAGGTGGTACCTGAGAATATGATAAGATCTCTCTATTATAATGCATTTTCAAAACAGTAATTGTCCATTACAAGCTGATTAAATTATACTAGTGCATCAGAAAGTTCATTCAACTATCACCATGCATTGAAAGGCACACATCACTACTTCCAGACCCTTCGGGAGTTCAGACCATGTGGCATGTCAGTGGATGACTACCAAAAAGAATAATGAGCCTGTGTTGCTGGTAGATGTGATACCAGCCATGAAAGAGTGAAACCTGAATTTTAAATACCATTACGACAGATTCTTTTAGAGCTTAGGTAAAATAAGGATAAAATTCTTGACATTTTGACACATTTCTACAAAGATAGTAAGCAAAGTAGCAAGTTGTTTTGGCAAGCTAATAATGTTTAACAAAAAGCTTTTGTTTAAGAATGGCTTTGCAGACTGGTGTATAAGGTATAACATGGAAATACTTAGCACAATACTTGCTTAGGCTGCACAGTGTTCAAGAAGATTGTGGTATTTTCTCTCCCTTCTCATTTGGTGTCACAAAGAAAAGCCACATTTAGGAAATGGTACGTGAAAGCGGTTACGGCTTGTTCATTTCTATTACCTGACATTCCGCCTACTCCTAAGGAACCAACACACACACATACACATACACACACAAACACACAGATATTTTTAGTAGCAAGGTAACATTTTATTCCCAGAACACCTAAGGCAGCAGGAGATATATATTTCATACTTAGGGGCATAAAGCAAATACAATGGAATTTTCACGTTCTGTGCCCCACTGGCCCCCACTTTCCCTGCTCTTGGGAAAATATAAGCTTGTGAGGACTTTACAAGATTATTTTTGAATGGCTTTTTATTTAGAAAATGTTTGGTTAGCACAGTGCTTGGGACTTTGGTCACACTGTTTATTGAATTAATAAATCAATGGTTCTGTTAAAGAATGTTCTTTTTCTTTAATTTCAGAACAAAATTAATCATATAGTGTTAAAGGACCTGCTTGATCCAATAAAAGAACTCTATGAGGATGTCAGAAGAAAAGCTCTAATGAGATTGGAATATGAAGGTCTGCATAAGAGTGAAGCTATCACAACTCCTGGTGTGAGATTTTATAACGACCCCGCTGGCTATGCCATGAATAGATACGCATATTATGTCTGCTACAAATGCAGAAAGGTATGCTGTTAATCATAACACGAAATTTTAAGACTTAGAGATTACCGGTGTAAGTTGAATTATTCTAGTCTTAAGTCTAAAGTTAAAAATACAAAAGTTTGGTACTATGTTTCATATAGAATTTATTGACTTAATTTGTTTAGGGATTTTTTTTAACATATACAAAGTGTTCCCAAAACATGAAATATTTCTGTACACAATCTATTTCCCGTCAGTAATAACCTCTTGTTTGCCAAATCCAGTTGGTTCTTAAATAAACTTCTCTTGTTTGACTCTTTTGACCATTCCCTCCTTAAAATTCTTATGCCCTTGGCTTCTAGGACAAGACTCTCTTTGGTATCTTTCTTGCTTTCTGGTCATTTGTCTTTAACTCCCTCACGGAGTTCCGTTTCATTCACCTACTCCTTACATATTTGTTCCCCGGCCCTCCGTTCTTGCCTCATGGTTCCTCCTTCCCTCGGGCGACCTCCTGTCCGCTCTTGCCTCCCCTACCACCTGTGTTGTTCTGACCCTCCAGTATTTCTGAGATTGAGAAACAAATATCCGACTGCCTGCCAGACATTTGAATTTATCACAAATACTTCCAAGTCTACATGCCCATTATTGATTACATTTATCGACTTCGACTCACTATCCAGTCTGTTTTAGCAAAGTCCTATTAATTCTGCCTCCAAATCTCTTCTGAGTTCTTTTTTCCTTTCTATTACATCTTCAGCAACCCTAATCATTTGCTTTGGTAGTTACAGTGGTCTTCTTCCTGAACTCCTTGTGTGGAGCCCTAACCCCTCCCTTTCATGCTTTACACAGACACTTAGAGTTTTACCCGGAGATTAATATTTTTAGATCTCAGATCTGATTGTCATTGTTGTGCTGAAGCCCATTCCCCTCTCAAGTCTCATCTCCCGATGTGCTGCCATTTGTGCCCTGTGCAACGAAACTGAGCAGCTTGCAGTTCCCCAGACCAGGCCATGTTTGCTCACTTGCCACACCCCCACACCAGCACGTGGGCTCCTCTCTTCGTGGAATGCTCTTCTCTGCCTCCTACTCTGCATCTGGCTCTCACCTGCCACCCACCCACACGCTCTTAGGCGTAGCCAGGTCTGTCTGGTCGCACTTCTGGACTCCACCCAGGTCCCCCCACCCTGCAGTGTGCCTGCGCTGTTGCGGAAAAATGTGTTACAGCTCGGTGTTACAGCTCAGTTGTGACAGCAACCTGGATCTGAGCAAGAGGCCAAGCAGCACTCGGAGAGTTAGAGAACTCAGGTTTATTATGCCAGCGGGCCCAGAGGAGTTAACAATTCAAGCTCTGAACCCCACCTGTAGGTTTACACAGGCCTTTTATAGGCTGCCAGTTTTACACTTTGCAACATCATATTCAAATAAAGTACAACAGAAGTTAACCAACCAGGAACAAGCTTTGTAGAAATAGACTAATCAGGAGTGAGCTCCATGCAAGGAAGTACTACAAATGGACCAATCAGCAGTTAGGGAAATGGACCAATCACAAGTGAGAGTAATAATCAGGAGTGAAGGAAATAACCAATCAGAAGTGAGCTCAGGGAACCAATAGAATTCTAGATGTAAGTTAGCCGCTTTAGAGGCAAAAAGTGAGAGACAGCCTCTGGGCCACGGAACTGGTCGGTGCTGGGAGGAGAGCAGTGGCCCTGCCTAGGGGTCCTGCAGGTCTTTTTATGGGGCTTCCTGCCTCAGCCTCCCTGCCACCACCATACCACACCATTTGGACGTCTTGCATACATCATCATAGCACTCGTTGCTCTGCGTCACAGTAACTGGTTCTCTTGTCTCTCTGTCCCAGTTGGTAAGTTCCGTGAGGACAAAGACTGTTTTTTCACTACTCTCTCTCCAGTACTTGGCATTTATTAGACACTAAGCTAATTAGGGAATGAATAAATGAATGAAGGAATCAATATATGAAAGATGCATAGTATCCCAAAGTAACAAAAAGAAAATGCAGATAACGAATGAAAGGCTGAGGAGGTAGATGATAGCCAGAAAAGCAGACAGGTCCACACACCCAGGGAAAGCCCTTCAGTGTACATCTGTGAATCGTGTACTGTTAGAAATAGTAAAATATTACTTCTGTGCGTCGGACGTACTAAACATCATCAGTGAACATCATGCTACCACACTGGGTGTCAATCAAATGTCCAGAAAGGCAAGCAGAGAATCTGGAAAAGTGAAAGAGCTGGAATAGGCCAGGACACATGAAATACTTCTGAGGCCTGATTTAGCTGGTAGATGACTGTTTGTAACCTCTGTATTAATAAAGCCTGTCTTTTGGCCTGTTTTTCAAGTACAGATAAAAGATTTATATTGAATCATCTTACTTATTCCCAATTATGGACATAGTTTTTTGACTATGAGACATACTGTGTTTGCAGATTGCACCAGTTAGAATTGGCCTAAATAATTTTGTGCCCAGGGCAAATGCAAATAAATCATTGTGATAATTTCATTTATTCAAGTATCTGTATTGGATACTGTTGAGTTCCTGCATATAATGTAGTTTTATAAGTATGAGCAGTATTCTGAACAGAATTATCAAATTTGCCTTTCCTTTTAAAAAATTTTTAGATGATCAAAATGGATTTTTTTCTTTCCCATTACCCTCAGGATTATAATTTTATACCAAAGTTTATTTTAGGCATATTTTTAAAGCAGCAGAAGGGAATATGTTATTTAATATTTCAAAATGAGGAAAACTATTCAAACTTTTTACCCTGAAAAAGCATAGTTTCTCTTTACCATTTAATATCCTATTCTTGATATTTATTTGGAATATTATACATTCTTTGATCTTTTTCTTTGACGGTAAGTACAGTGTTTGAACTTACTATGGTGAGCGAGAATCCATTCATGCTTTATTCATGAAGTAGCTTCATTTCTTACCCTGCTGTGCCCTGTGGGCAGTAGCGTGGACACCCACTTGCCATTGCAAGGGACCGTTTAAGAGGCAGTAGTGCTTCCGAAGACCTCTCAAGCTCGCATCTGCTGCACCCATGCTGCACCGCCCACGCAGTGTTTCCTGTTCCTGCTGTGATCTGACTGTGTTCTCTCCCTAGGCGTATTTTGGGGGCGAAGCTCGCTGCGATGCTGAGGCTGGACAAGGGGATGATTATGATCCCAGGGAGCTCATTTGTGGGGCCTGTTCTGATGTGTCCAGGGCTCAGGTGGGCAGAACATTTCATTAGAAAGAACAGTTTAGAAACATTAAACTTACGTTTTTTTAAGTAATAATGTAACTAATATGATGGGGATGGTATAGCAGGTTTTTTCCCCTGTGTTTTCTGATGTTTGTATAGCAGTGTATAATTTATCACTTTGTGCGTATTATTTCTTTTGCATTTTATAATTTCATCTCATAAAATAATCAACCGTATTTTGACAAGTAATAAATTTACTTACTTCCTTTTCTTTAACCTACAGTCACAAACTTTTAAGTTTTCCTGTCTTCAATGAAATCTTCACTATGATTCCATCTATGAGGTTGAGAGATGAAATATTATTAATTTTTTAATTTGGCTAACCAAGAAATGTTCATAAGGATATTAAGTGGCTTGCTTTTTAAATAATAGTAGTTATGATGGAGCTGAGATTAGAACTTGGGGCTTTGTCCAGACATTTTGGGCAAAGGAACACATTTATTCAATTTTTTTAATGTTATGTATCATCAGGTTTTCAATCAGTTTCAAGAGCTATATATACTCTCAAAATACAAGCCGTGTATATGACTGTCTTAAGTATAGTTGAAGTAGACTTGACATAATCTTGTGTCTGTTTTCTTTTGCTGTAGATGTGTCCAAAACACGGCACAGACTTTTTGGAATATAAATGCCGCTACTGCTGCTCGGTGGCTGTCTTCTTCTGTTTTGGGACAACACACTTCTGCAACGCTTGTCACGATGACTTTCAGAGAATGACTAGCATTCCTAAGGAAGAACTACCACACTGTCCCGCAGGTATGCTTTTTGTATTTTTGAATATGATTATGATGATATGGTATCTAGTTCTATCTAATGATCACATGAGGACACTTTGTCTCAAGTGGCAGAAATCCGGTTCAAACCATCCTAAAGAAACAAGGGAACTCCTCGGCCCTTGTAAGGAAGCGTCCTTCTGGGTGAGGTAGAAAGTGAGGTGACCGCGGTGAGTGAAAGGCCCTGAGCTGTAATGAAGCAGATGGCTTGGGGACCGAGAAGGAAGTCAGCTAAGGGTTAGTAGCGTTTCTGTTCAGCCCTGAAGGGCCGTGTGAAGTTTGAAATTATAAACTGATAAGAGAACCATTTAAAGGGATTTTGTGATTTTTTTTTTAAAAGCCTGGAACCAGCATCATAAAGTGGGCGAGTGATTTGATCTGGAATGGCTGGGATTGGCAGCGTAGTGAGTATCAGAAAGCCAAGGGGATTAAAGAAGCCACTGAGAATACAGGGGAGATAACTGTGGAGGTAAGGGTGACGGAAAGTGAAGATGAAACCAAAAGGAAGCTGAAAAAGTGGGACGAGATCAGGAGGCTGGTGACGACAGTGAGGTCGAATGCCAGGCTTAACAGAAGGGAGAGAAGCGAAGGATAGGCAGATGTGACCACAGAAGAGAATTTTACACAAGATAGATCTGAAATGAGTGCAAATATGTGCAAAAGTACATAAACCACAATGTACAATGTTGTCAAGGCTGGGAAATGCTCTCATTCGTTGCTTATCAAAGTGCGAATAAGCAGAACCCTATGGTGCCTCTCAAAACTGCAAATGTATCTACCCTTTAACACTCCCGTTTCTGGGGATACACCTATATATGAGAGGAAAATAAAAAAGAGCAAATAGACAAGGTTATTCATTGCATCATTGTTAATAGTAATACAAATTTGTGAGCATTGCAAGTATCCAACAGGAGGTTGGTTAAACACTAAATACTCTGCACCATTAAAAAATGAGGGAGACTGAGGATGGAGTTTCTATGTACTGATGCAGAAAGATCTATAGGAGATACTGTTAAGTGAGAGACAAGTTACTGAAGAGTGTATATAGTTTGCTGCCTTTTGTAAGAAAGGGAGAAATGACAATATTTACTCGTATTTATTTCTATTTACATTTTAAAAAAAACTGGGAAGATACACTGGTGTGATTTGCAGTGGGAGATGGTGATACGCTTTATAGTTTATAACATGAATAATTGCCTTTCTCACAAACCTCTGATGACCCGTCCTGGAGCCACATGCCTGCGGTTGTCGGAGGCAGCCCTGACCGCTGCTCTTGTGCCTGTTCGCTGAAACCAGCAGGGGGCTTCTCCCGCTGAGATCCGCTGCCTGCAGTCTGCAACTCACCTTCATGCCTTGGTCTTCCCCTTATATGGAACTTCCCTTATATTTGGCTAGACCAGGCCACCGTTTGTTGTCATTAACAGTAATCATAGCTAACCTTTATTGACGGTTTATACTGTGCCAGGCTAAGAGCTTCATAAACACTAGGCTTTTATCCCTAATGTTTACCTTCTTTTAAGTCAGAGGAGTTTTTAAAGCTGAAAGAGGTAAACTGAGATCTCATTCGCCATCAATCTGGATAACCGTATTCCATCCAATCTCATCATGCTTTTCTCTCAAGTAAAATCAAAATTTACATTTACCGTTTTGGAAACCAGCGGTAGGAAACTAGTGCATAGTTCTGTTCCTTCCTCTCTGTTAATAAGACTCTGCATTCAAGCGTAAGCCCAGCCTGTGTTCCCTGCACAGAGCAGCTCTTCGCTTATAAAGCAGCAGAAATCCTTTTTAAATGATACGAAACAGGTGACATGAGGCCCATTAACATAACAAATCTTTCAAAACATAGAAAAACACAGGTTTTTTTGCACATTTTTAAGCCTAGTTTGATTATTATCTACAAATATGTATCTTCCCCTAAGTGTTTCTTCTGGGTTATGACATTTTGAATTATTTTACCATTCATGTCTTTCAGTTGAGTAATTTCCATTTTTTACTGATCTCCTTTTAGATAGTTTTTAATGTAACACTGATAATCAGTCTTCCCACTTTACCAGTGTCTGCTTTTTCTTCAGAGAAGATAGAAGGATAACATGGCTTATTTACACTTCAGTTTGTTGTTACTTGGAGGAAAGCATTCTATATAAAAGTCCTCATATTTTCTTATCCAGAATAATTTTCTGCTAGACGACAGTGAGAGATTTTTGTGACCATCTTGTTCATTGCTCTTTGCATTAAGATGGTATACCTAATTTACCTATTAATAGAAAAAGATCTATAGCTCAGAGTGGTTATCTTTAGGCAGGATGTCATGGGTAAGGGACCCTGTCCCTTCCTGTTATATGTATCTGGTATGTTGAATTTTTAATGGTGAATGTTTTTACTTTTGTGCTTAGAAGAAAATAATGTTTTATACTTAACTTTGTATTTGCATAACCGTAGTCAAGTTACTTCTTTGAGTAACTTATCAGTGGTTAGTATTTACCTTAGGTTTGTGTGTATGTGTGTCTGTGTGTGTGCACTTTTAATTGTATTCTTTTGCCTCCTTCAAAATTTACACAGGTCCCAAAGGGAAACAGTTGGAAGGAACTGAGTGTCCTCTCCATGTTGTTCATCCACCCACTGGGGAAGAGTTTGCGCTGGGTTGTGGCGTGTGCAGAAACGCTCACACTTTTTAGAACACTCAGACTCCTTTGTCTACAAAGAGAAAAGTTGCCTTCATCCCCCAGGCGGATGCGGTGAAGTTTAACCTCTGCTCAGGATAAGGACGGGACCATTTTTACATCCATGAAAACTTACCATTCACAGTGCAAGAAGGATGCCAAATACATGTACATAATTCTTGCTGTGGACAGTTTCCCCATTCTTTCAGTTTATCTTCTTTTGAACCAAGACATCAAATTTGTGAGGTGTTTGCATGTGGCCATTACCGTCATTGGCCTGTGAAACATTGGACATTCATAGATAATTGATAACAAAGAATTGCCATGCCCATGGACTACGAATGATGCTGGCTTTCAAGCAAAAAAGAAAAATAATCATTGTTTATTGTATACTGCCTTTTTGTAATCCTGTACAATTGCATCACGGGTGGGGATAAAAAGAGGAATATTCTGGTTTATTTCCTAGACTGTTATTTAAAAAAAAATTGTGTTAGGACAGCATATAAATGTAATAAGTATCACACTGTATATAAAGATATCAATGTTTGTCCTGTATAAGAATTACTAAATTACAAATGCAGTTTCATTTAAACTTCTAGGTTAAGTTTGAGCCTGAAATTTTAATGAAGTGCAATACTGAGTGTGCCTCATTATCTTGCAGCTGTAAACATAATGGAATGTACATGTCAATAAACCACTGTACATTTTTATACAGTGATAAAGTCTAACAAGTATGTAAAGTGTTGCTTGAGAAACAAAATTTAAGTACCTTAATGTAAGGACTAAAACTCTATCCAATTTTCCTTGGAAAGAAATTTGCTAACACAGCACAATCATGACTTTGAGAACTGTTAGGGAAAATAAGAGTAGTAATGAAGTAAGTGAAGTGGAATCTTAATTAAACACTGGATTTATATTCACAAACAGGCATATGCCAGAGATGGAAGAAAACACGTAGGAAATTGACCAACCTCCATCTTATTAACCCCACTTCTTTTAACTTTGCTAACATCAACAAAATCACAAGTCTTTCCTTTATCTATTGTAGACTGTGTGTTTTGGTAGACCTTTTTTACATTTAGCTCATAAAATTGGCAAATTGTTGGTTTATGATGGGTCATAAATCAGATGACATTTATTTCATAGAGCTGACAAAAGTTTTGACCAGTTCTGTTCTAAAGTCCCCAGTTGAAAATATATAATTTGTCAATATACATTATTTTAATGACATTTGTTAAGCATTTGTGAGAAATTTAAAATAATCTTTGCCTTTAAGGGACTTAAAATATAAAGAAAATATCAAATATGAGCACAGATAACTATTTAGAGAATCTTCTAATAAATTGCATAAAATGTCCAAGCCAAATGCTTCAGGGTTTAGGAAAGATTGTTATCGGTGGTTTCTGGTTTTGTCTTTGTTGTTGGGAAGGTTAGGTCAGAGGCCATTTGAGCTGCATCTTGAAGCATAAGTATCATTTCAAGGGCAGACATGTAAAGAAAGGCATGAGGAAAAAGTGTATGTAGAAAATTCTAGAATGTAAAGAACAGTGCAAGTGGTCTAACTTTCCCAGTATTGGAGACCTTACTGGAAGAAAAAAAAATCTGAAGATCACAAAGACTGATCTCTTTATGATGCAATTCTGTGGATCCACTGTATGTACAAGCACAGGGGATTCCTGAGCAAGGAAGGACTTTGAAACAGTACAGAGGTCCCCCTTCATCTAAATAAGATACATCTGACTATCACTGAAAAAGTCACGAATACACTTTATTTTAAAATCTCTCAAAAGAAGAACATTATATAAACTTTCTTTGTATTCCGTGATGGTACCCTAGGGATGCAAGCAATTTTTAATTTCCCCATGTGTCTGAATGTGAGGAGAGTGACTTGTTGTCACTGAAGGCATGTCTGGTGGTTCCACGCCAAGCTGAAAGGTTGCAGGCAGGACTAGTTCAATTTCCACGATCAATGATTCTGGAAGAAACCCTGATACCTTAAGCAGAAAAAGGTTCTGAAGGCACCTGCAGGTTGATCTCCCCTCACATCTCTTTCTGACAAGGGGCCAGTTGAGACCACCTATTCACAAAAGACATTCCAGAATGAACCTTAAGACAACGCAGCCTTTTTCTTCAAAACAGTCATTCTACCGTGAGGATGTCTAGCCACAGGTATCAGGAAGGAAGGAGGACACTGCTCCAGACAACCTCTCAGCCCCAGCTTCTCCCTCTCTGCACCTGCTTGGAAAGCTCCGCCTCTCCCTCCTTGTCCAGCCCCACCTTTCGCAGTAATGGTGTTCCATGCCCAGGCCAGTGGGAGAACACTGAGGGCACAGGCTCAGGATTGGCTTTAAATGTTCCCAGAAAACACAAAAGTAGCTCAGAGACAGAAGCAGTTCCCTGGTTTACCCCAGGAATACCGGCTGTGATGAGGCCATTGTGATGTATCTGACTTAAACTCATGGGCCGCAGGATTGAGTGACACTAACTTTGAGAATGCCACCTGGATAGGCAGCGTCTTGGACACCTGAGACCTGTAAAGAATCCCATTTTGTCACCATTACTTTGCTGGCAAATTGAGCAGCTCCGGTGTGTAAGTGGGAATGGAGAAGAGAGAGTAATAGAAACTATCGAGATGGCTTGACTGGCGTGAGCCATCTCAAGTCAATATTCTGGTAATAAAAGTGATAAAGCAACAAAGTCCTATAATATATTCTCACAATGACTCCAATTTATCTTCCTTTATGAGGAAGCTGTTTTTAGTCATATTCCAAGCATCTCAAAATCAGAGAACTTAAAATAGTTTAGGAATAGGTTCTGACAAAGCAGTGAAGGCAGATGGCTTTGGCATGCATTTGGCTCGGGCATCCTGTGCACAGAGGAGTTTTAAATGCTATCTATGCGCAGTGTACCAGGCAGGACCCACAAAGCAGGCATGAGAGCAGGTGTCAGGGAAATCTGGAAAGAAACTTTTCCTGTTATGTTTTCAGGCCTAGGAAAAGCCATTTTTCTTAAGCAGTTTTCTGGCCAGACTGTTGAGATCTAAAAACTCCTTATTCTATCTTAATAAGCTTACTTGAAAAGATACTTGAAAAAAAAAAAGTCAGTTGAAAAGTATGCAGTTTTCTATTTTCATTCACAACGGTTACTGGTTCGCTTTTTTCAAATTTTTCAGTCCAACATCTCTCCCTGGCCACTCGGTCACTGAATTCCACCAGGACGTAGTCACACGTGTTTCTGACGGTGGTGAGATGATGGAACACTGTCACCTGTTTTCTGGAAAACTGCTAATAGTACTTAACGAGAGCTGAAACCGAAACCAGAAGACTTGGGTTTGAGTCCCGACTCTGCCTCTGTCTTGGCTGTGTGACCTGGAGTCAGCCGCACAGCCTGACTCAGCCACCGCTTCTTAGGAGTAATAATACCTAATCAAAATCAGTTGAGGGAGTCCTTATAAATTGCTTCATCCCACAATAGAGCATTCGGCGAAAGGGCAGAGTGTAGGAGAGAAGAACATTATTCAACACCTCTTCAACAGCAAGCACTGAATTGTAAGCGTTTTATTTAATCCTCCTAGCAGCTCTGCAGGGTAAAACATTCTTAATCTCATTTCAGCAGATGACTTTAAAGGCTTAGAGACCTTAAAGAATTTGTATTAAATTCTAGCTGATCTAATACAGATTTGGCTGAAAAAAAAAACCTGCAATATGAATCCAGATCTTTCTGTGTCTCAAACCCAAACACTTCTTACCCCCATCACGATGTTACTAACTGCATCACCAACTGGTCCAATGAAAAGAAGTAACGTATGAAATGGTAACTGGACACCAGTCACACGGGCAAGATTGCAAAGGGAACAAGAGAGGATTTGCCTCGAGGACTGTGCAGGGTAGATCCGGAGGGGTGGGGCTCCTGGATCCCTCCTGGGTTGGGGGACAGTTAGCTGACAGCCTGCGCTGCTCCACCTGTGGGATCCGCCACAGCACTGAATCCAAAGGCGCACTCTTTCCCCCACAGCCCTTGCCAGAGACAGAACAAGGCAGGGTCCTAGGGCTTGGCTGTTCCTGCCCAAGGAAGGGATCCTTTCCGGGCAATCTTTGCACCAGGACTCAGGCTAGTCGAGGGAGGCATCTTTAGAGCTGTGCTGCAGCCAGAGGCTTTTCCTGCCCAGTACTCCTTCTCCCTGTCCTTTTGGAGACGCCAAACCGGTGTGGCCATCTGAAGGCTCTCCCTGCCCACTCCTGCTCCCTCACGCCTTGATCTTTCATAGGCACTGCCCCCACAGATCTCTTGCACATCTAACTTTATCTTGGCATCTGCCTCCTAGAGGACATGTGCCTTCTGACACAGAAGGATAATACATTTTAAATGACTTACGTTTGCTTCATGTCACAAATGATACAAGGTACCTTAGGAAAAAATGCATGGACTATAAAAGAAATACTGAAGGTAGTTACAGTGAAGAAAAATTACGAGAGAAAATAAAAGCCAAGGTTAGAGGAGTGTGTCCAGTAAGTAACCATACAGTCTCACACAGTCACCAGAGAGAAGGCCATCGACTTCGCAATATACGTTCGTCAGCTAACAAAGCAAGGCAAGAGGCATGTTCAGTTGCATTTTCTTAAAAAGAGCACAGCAGGTATTCGAGCCTAGTTTTGAAGGATGGGTAAGTTTTGACCGGCACAAATGAAAAGGGCACTCCAGGGAGAGTGAGTGGTGGAAACTAAGGCACTGATGTGTTCCTCAGTTCCTCAGCGGAAGTAAGCAGTTTCACTTCATTAATTCATTTAATAAGTGGTTGAGCACCTGTCCAGCATCCACACTTGACAGTACATGCTCATGAGGATGGGAATTGGGTCTGGTTGCTTAGTAACCACGACTTACAACTGGAAGGTGCCTGATGGATGAACCGTACGTGTGGCGCTGTGCCAAGGGCTAGGGATGAGATGGTCACAGAACACACATACAGAACCATGTAAGGAGCACAATGTTATTAAGAACTACAATCAACATTTTCTAAAGGTAAGCGAGAACACCTGTTGAGGGCTTACAGCGGCCAAGCACTGTGCAATGCAAGGGTGTGGCAGGCATAATAACAGCCCCTCACAGTGCCCACATCCTCATCCCCAGCAGACATGAATATGTCGCCTTGCATGGCAGAAAGGACTTTGCAGATGTGATTAAGGGTACAGACCTTGAGATGCGGAGGTTTTCCTGGATTAACTTGGTGGGCTCAAAAGGATCACAAGAGTCCTAATTTGGGAAAGAGGAGGTGAGGAAGGTCAAGGTCAGAGGAGGTGCAATGAGAGAAGCAGAGCTCAGAGACAGAGACTTGAAGACCCTACACTGTTGGCTTTGAAGATGAAGGAAGAGGCTTTGAGCCAAGGAATGCAGGCAGCCTCAAGAAGTTAGAAAAGACAAGAAAACTCATTTTCACCCATAGCCTCCAGAAGGAATTCAGCAATGTCAAGACCTTGATTTAAGTTGGACTTCAGACCTCCAGAAATGTACAATAATAAAATTATGTGGTTTCAAGCCACTAGGTCTGTGGTAGTAGGAAACAAATATAGTGGACTTGACATGGATTATGACATTTTCATCTTCCACGAATCTCTGAACTCCGATTTTCCCTCTGCAGAAGAGGCAACAACTAGCCCAAGGTTTTGCAAAGCATTGGCAGCAGGGGGGTAGGATATAGCTCAACTAGTAGAGTGCATGCTTAGCATGCACA